CCACTATGTGTCTACAGACTCGTTTCAACGTGATCTATGCAACGGTACAATCGAAATTTCTAAATTCCTTCCTGGTCAAATAGTCAACTTTAAACCTAATAAAATATTCTAGGGGCAAAATAGTTTTTTCCCATAATAAATTAATAATTAAAAATTGATTTAAGATCTGGTTGTTATAGTTCGGGCTGTTTATATGCCCGCGGAGTGTTGTCGACGTGATCATGGTAGCTAGCATGCTCCATCTCGACATCTGTGGTGCTCTTGGCATCGGCCTGTGGGCTCCCCATTCGACCCATTTTAAAACACGGACCAAGGAGTCTGACATATGTGCGAGTCAACGTGCGATTAAACCCACAAGGCATAAGGAAGCTGACTAGTGGGATCCCCTTGAGGGTTGCACCGCTGACCGACCTTGATCTTCTAAGAAGGGTTCGAGTGAAAGCATGCTTGTCGGTACCCGAAAGATGGTGAACAATGATCCAGCGGGGTGAAGCTAGAGGAAACTTTGGTGGAGGCTTGTAGCGATACTGACGTGCAAATCGTTCGTCTAACTTGGGTATAAAAGCGAAAGATTAATCGAACCATCTAGTAGCTAGTTCCCTCCGAAGTTTCCCTTAGGATAGCTAGAGCCCATGAACGAGTTCTATCGAGTAAAGCCAATGATTAGAGGCAACGGGGGCACAACGCCCTCGACCTATTCTCAAACTTGAAATAGGTAGGACGGTGCGGTTGCTTTGTTGAACTGCGCCATGGAATTGAGAGCTCCAAGTGGGCCATTTATAGTTCTCTTCCAAATCATGCATTTTCAAAAGTGACTTAAAATTTTTAGTTCAGTTAGGTGTCAAATTAATAGAACTAGATGTGTGTAAATTTATCATTTGAACTTTATCTTTTGAGTTTATCATCAGCAGAAGCTTTTTATGTGTAAAAGAAAGGTGATGTTATCTTTTATACTGCATAGGTTGTATTGTGGAACATGGTTCTCCCATTTTTTACTTAAATTTTTATTACTCGGTAATGCTCCTGCTTGATGCAGGTGATTCAAGTGGCACTACCATTGCAGACGCTCCTCTTCCACAAACCATCTGGAGTTGCACCTAATCTCATTGAAGGAAACTCTTTTTAGCAAATGGAGGTATGCTCTTGTGTTATAGTTTGGATGGACGTTTTTTGCCATTTTGTTTTTCCAGAAGCATGCAGTTTCTGCAGACAAATATTAGTTCCATATACGCATATGTTTTTCGTTGTAGTTTGGGTTTAAAATCTTTCGTTTCTTTTAAACAATTTTACTAGACGTATGTTTTTCACTGTTATTTCTGATCTCTGATCATGTTATCAAAGATTAGATGATGGAATGATAGATGCAAAAGGCCAACGGAAGTCTGAGGAATATGAATTGAAAAAGTTCAAGTTTGCTTTGGTGAGTGTGTAGAGTCTGCCCCATATTCTAATTATTTACTTATTTCTGTTTACACAAATTTAATGAGTATTTCACCAGATGGTTTTCTTTTCTTCCAGACATATCCACTTCAGATATGTATGAGATATGCTTGGGACAACCCTATACTTCAGTTATATATGGTTTGGAGAAAATAAATATCTAAAATTTCCCAGAATCTGTTATGAGAAACCCTCTTAATTGGAGGCCTGTGATTTTGTAAAATTCCACAACCAGAACCCTTCGAGCCAACCAAAGGGTCTTACCATGGAACTGATGGGTTTCAGTTATGCTCCTTTTTATTGTCGGAATTTTGCAGGTATGTACTTAAAAGCTTAATGATCTGGTGCTGTATTATATTTCAGTTTAGTGATAAATGCAGGGGTATTTTGATAATAAGGTTTATTAAGATATGATGAAGTGGATGTGTAACAAAATTGGAAGCTAGAGTTATTAGTTGAGACATTCAAATTAAATCAGGCGCAGCACTATAGCATGGGCAATGTTTTTGTGTTCTTTGATCGGTTGGATTGAGCATTTGGGGTCAGTTGTGTGTTGTGTTCGTTGGATCCGTTGTAGTTAGATTCATAGATGTGATTGGGTAAGTTTGTTCAGAAAAAGAATATATAAATTTTTGGACCAAAAAAAAAAGAATATAATATTTTATGACATGGTAATAATTTATCTAGAGTTTTTTTCCTTATTTTTTAAAATGGACGTTAACTAGAAAGAACTAATTTAAGAGAATATATCATTCTTGCAGCCTGCCTGAAGTTATCCATGTTCATGAGAAGAAAAAAAATTATAAAATCCATCATGATGAGAGGTGAACGTATAGTTCCCAAAATTGTTCTTAATCTAGTGATATTTCTTCTCCCAATATTAAAAAAAGGTCTTATTTTGAATTCTTCACTCACTTTAAATTAATGCACATAAATAATGGCTTGGTGAAGGGGAATGCAGCACTCGGGAGGACCACAATAAAATCTGGAGGAGTATTTGGTGTCTGAAGGTACCTCTCATGATTCGTACTTTCATTTGGAAGCCGTTTGGTACGCTTGTCCGTTGCAAGTTGACACTAGCAAATTAGGGGCGTATGTACTGGTGTAGGCTTTGTGTATTTTGGGTTTTGAGGGAGGAGCATATGGGTTTGCAAGTGATCAGAGGGTGTGGGGAGGGAAGAGAAAGAAGGCAAACAAGAGAGAAAGAGGGAGAGAGAATGAAGAAGGGAGAAGAGGCCCGGCCCATAGGGTGTGCGGGCTGGCGACGGCATAGGGCCCCAAAAGAATAAGTCCCCCCTATAAAATGTTTTAGCCCAAGAGTCATAGTAGGGAAAAAGAAGGCATTTTATGAGTGTAACTCATAGTTTTTGCACTTATTCTAAAAAATTTTGGGCATTTTTCTTTACTTTTCATTTTGTGGGCCCCTTTTACATAAACTAACAAACTTAGCACCTAAGCTTGAAACTTTCTATTTTAATTTTTGTTCAAACATAAAAGGCCTCAATTTTTATTTTTGCTCAGGGCATCAAAAATCAATGGACCAACCTGAGAAGAAGTAGAGGTAGTGTGGGGGTTTGGGAATTTTTATATATAATTATTTTTAAAAAAATTGACTTTATATTAATTTTAAATTTTTTATTTATTGTTTTTTGACACATCATCACACACCATCAATTTAACTGAAGATCACTTCCCACATCACCAATTTAACTGAAAAACAAACGGTCAAACTAACTGAGGGTGTAAATTGTTCGAATTTAATAGGTTATTGTGTAAATTTATTACATTAAAACCTCATGGCCCATGTTAATAATGAGTCTGAACCTAAAGGGTGTAAAATGAGGATCCCAAACCTCTGCATTTAGTTGTCATGCATTTTGGCGCATTTCATAAAATATGGTCCATTCCATTAATCTAGTGGTTCATATTATGCCACATCAAATTAAGGCCCTGTTTGATATCCAACTTGAATCCAGCTTTTTAAACTCAAAAACAGAATTCCGGTCCAAAACAAAGAAAACCTGTTTGGTTACCCTATTTTTAAAAACTCAAACTCAAAAACAACTAAAAAACAACCCAATTATTAAAAACAAAAAATATTTGTTTTTTCAGTTTTTTTTCTAACAACCCACAAGTTCTCAAACTTTTAAGATTTGAAAACAGTTTTCAAGTTGCATACCAAACAAGTTTTTGAATCTTAAAAATAGATTTAAGAACTCCTTGTTTTTAAGAAAAATCAAAGTTTTTGAGTTCCCTATTTGAATAGAATACCAAACACCCCCTAAGTTTTGGGCCTTTCTTTTCCAAATTGCCGTTTAATTTCGTTCTCCACTTACGAACTAAGAAGTTCTTTTATTTACACAAAACTCAAAAGTTTGCTATGTTGAAACTGATAGGGTTAATGGTTCTATTAGTCCTTGAACTTTGACCCGATTTGCATTAGAGTACCTCAATTTTCAGAATGGTTCTCGTGGTCCTTTAACTTTAGTTTCGTTTAGACAAATGGTCCTATCGTCAATTTTGTTAACTTTTTCTGTTAAATGTAAATGTAGGGGCAAAATGGTATTTTTATATTAAAACCAAAAAAATGAATAAAAAATTCATATCTTTAAAATAACAATAAAAGAAAATCAAATAAAAAACCAACAAAAAAAAAGTTTGGGGGGAGTAGAAACCAGAATAGAGGGGGAGAGAGAGAGTGAGAGTTCAATTTTAATTTTTTTTATTCATATTTTAATCAATTTTAGTACAAAAATACCATTTTGCCCCTACATTTAACATAATAGTTAACAAAATTGACGGTAGGACCATTTGTTCTAACGAAACTAAAGTTAGAGGACCACAGGAACCATTTTGGAAATTAAGATACCCAAATGCAAATCGAGACTAAATTCAGGGACTAATAAAACGATTAACCCAAACTGATAAATAAATTAGACACAGAAGATGATGGAATCAGAAACAAAGAAAATAGTGTGCTCTCAAAAATTGAATCCAGTGAAACTTTGTTCTTTGGAGCTGGGTGTATAGGCCTATATGTGATCTGTTGTACGGAGTTTGATGTTGGTTTCTTAGAGCTCTTTGCAATGACCTAGAGGCGGTGGTGCCGCCTCTTCCACCGCTAGCTTCCGTACATATCCAAAGAGCCATCGTTAAATTTGGGTGGAGGCTCACAATCACAATCGTTGAAGTTCACAAAGAAGCACATGTAAGACATTACCACTTTGAGATGGTCTTCTAATCACATGAGGTTTACAGTTTTGGTGTTAGTCAAGAAATAGGATTAGAGCAGATCTGCAGTTCTAGTTAAAGTGCAATATTAATTAGAAAACTAGAACCTTGAGAATTCCTAATCACATATGGATTGAAACACTTAATTCTAATGCAATCAGGATAGGATCAGGTATTCTTCGATGGGCAAAATACCTGAACCTAATGCAATACATAGCAGCCCCTTCCCTAGCAGTTACATACACACTCTCAAAGCGATCTCACCCCATCCGAGAAAGAGATAAAGAACAGCATAGGCGAAGAAGGCTTCTATACAATCCTAAGCTACCATGTCAGACCAAGGTTAGTATTTAAGATTCGAAGACAAGAAAGAACTTACATGTGGTATCAGAGTTCTAGGTCTTGTTCTTAACTCTACAACTGTTTTGCCGATTTTAAAATCTTCATAAAGAATCTGTATTGTTTTAAAATCTGCATAAATTTTATGATCAATTAGTCATATTGGCATGTAGAGTAAAATTGCATATCTTATTTTATAAAGTATGATATGGAGAATAAAGTATCATACTTGATCATGCTTGAAAGATTATTGATCAAAGATTTAAAATTGCAACTGCATAAGTTAGGCAAGCCATAGCAGCCTAAACTGTTGTAGATACAGTTTAAATCAACAGATTGATCAATATTTGCATCATAGTTCATAGCCTTTTATATTCTTCTCGATCCAAAGACAGGAAGAGTATGAATTGATGTTAACTGTGATGGAAAACATGGATAAAAGGTTTCACACAACCAAACGGGAAAGCTTTGATCCAAAGATTGAAGTTTTCATGTGCAGGGTGTTGTGTTAAACCATAATAATCTAGTGTTTTGAAAACATGTTTGATTTGTGGTCCAAAGATATGAATTAATAATGTTTGAATACAGTTTTGGGGACAGTTTTATTCATTTAATTGTGATTTACAGTGAATTCCTCAAGCTATCATTCCATCGAAACTTTTACTGGAACAAACTACTCCAAGTGGAAACAAGATCTGGCTATATCTCTAGGATTATTGGATTATGACTTTGTTCTCAAGGAAACTCCTCTCAAAGCACCTGCCACCGATGCTTTTGTAGAAATCAAGGCTCGGTATGTCAAATGGGAAAAGGCTAATAGGATGACCATGTTAATCATGCAGAGGTCTATGGCATCTTCTGTTAAATGCAGCATTCCAAAAACAGAAAGTGCAAAGGAGTATCATGAGTTCATAGCTCAGAGGTTCAAAGTTTCTGAAAAATCTGCCAAGAGCTCACTGTTGAACAAACTGATTGACATGAAGTATTATGGGCAAGGGTGTGTTAGAGCTCATATTATGAACATGATTGACATTGGAGCAAAACTACAAGAGTTGAACATGACAGTAGATGAGGATATGATGGTGCACTTTGCATTGAACTCACTGCCTAAGGATTTTAAATACATATATAGCTTAGAAAGAAAGTTGGACACTCAATGATCTCATCACCATGAGTGTCGAAATTGAGGACAATCTGATAAGAGAGAGAGGAGCTAAGGTGATAAATATGGTTCAGGCAAAGCAGCACAAGTGGAACAAAAACTCTGAAACTAGTAAGCAGAAAGAAAAGGACAATTCAAGTGCTCTCAAACCAGTTGGAAACAAATGCTTCTTTTGCAAGAAAGGTGGACATATGAAGAAAGAATGTAGGAGGTACAAGAAGTGGTTGGACAAACAAAAGGCTAAAGGTAACACTAATTAGATTCTGGTTTGTTTTGAATCAAATTTAGTTGATTTTTCTTGTGATTCATGGTGGTTAGACAGTGGAGCATCTATTCATGTGACTATTTCTTTGCAGGGGTTCATAAGGAAGAGGTTGCCAAGCAAGGATGAAGTGAAGGTGTTCATGGGCAATGGAGAGAAAGTTTAAGTTGACTTTATTGGAGTAGTTAGGATTGAATTAGTTTTGGTTTTGTTTTAGAATTAGAAGATGTGGTTTATGTTCCAACTATGAGGAAGAACCTAATCTCAGTTGCTAGGCTTGTAAAGTCAAAGTTCACTTTGAACTTTGATGATTTTGGTTGTTCTATTTTCAGAAATAAAGAATTAGTTGGAAAAACAAGTCTTGTTGATGGCATGTTTCGATTAAGTTGCAAAACAACCATGGAAATTAACTCTGTTGAAACTCGAACAAACAAAGAAGCTTCCTACACTCTATGGCATAAAAGACTTGGTCACGTTTCAAAGGAAAGAATTAAAATCCTATGCAAAGAATAAGTCATACCACCATTGAATCATAACACAGTAGAAGTATGCATTGAATGTGTAAAAGGAAAACTGACAAATTTAAGGAAGAAAGGAGCAATAGGGAGCAAAGGGTTGCTAGAACTAATACAAACAGATATTTGTGGGCCTTTTCCAACTCCAACTCATGAAGGGTTCAACTATTTTATAACCTTTACAGATGACTACTCCAGATATGGACATGTTTTTCTTATTAAAGAGAAATCCAGTTTTTTGGACATGTTTAAATTCTATAAAGCTGAGGCAGAAAAACAGTTGGACCTAAAGATCAAAGTAGTTAGATCTGACAGATGAGGGGAGTATTATGGAAGGTTTGATGAAACTAGGAGAAATCCTGGTTCCTTTGCTAAGTTCCTACAACAAGAGGGAATTATTGCACAGTATACTAATCCAAGCACCCCACAATAGAATGGAATTGCAGAAAGGAGAAACAGAACTCTAAAGGATATGATGAGAAGTATGATGTGTTGTTCCAAGTTGCCGATATTTCTTTGGGGAGAGGCTTTAAAAACTGCAAACTACTTATTAAATAGGGTACCTACTAAAAGTGTGAATGCTATCCCTTATGAAGTGTGGGTGAAAAGAAAACCAAGTTTGAATCACTTGAAAGTTTGGGGTTGTAAAGCATAAGCAAAACTGTACAATCCTATGGAGAAAAAGTTGGATTCAAGAACAACCAGTGGCTATTTTGTTGGCTATCCAGAAAGGACTAAAGGCTACAGGTTCTACTGCCCTCAAAACACAACTAGATTCGTAGAAACACAAAGAGCAGTATTTATTGAGTCTGAAACTGAGGTGACAGAAGAAGAAAATTTTGATTTTGATGAAGTAGTGACAGAAAATGCAGAAACAGTAAGTTCTAATACAGATAGCAGAATTCTTACACTGCCCAGTTTTGAGTTGAGTGGCACGCAATCTGTACAAGAAGATTGTTTTGTTGAAGATCACATGATACTTGAGCAAGAAAATCAAGAAATGCAAGATTTGCCACCAGAATACACAAATATGAATCTGCCTACAGAACAAACCAATAATCAGATGGACATAGAATTAAGAAGATCTCAAAGACCAAGGAAAAGAGCATTACTAGATGATTACTATGTCTATTTGCAAGAATCTGAGCATGATGTGAATTCAATTGAAGATCCTATGAACTATAAGCAAGCCATGTCCAGTGAGAAGAGTGAAAATTGGTGGGGAGCTATGAAATCAGAACCGAGTTCTATGGAGAAGAATGGTGTATGGAAACTAGTTAACCAGCCACAAGGTTGTAAACCTATAGGCTGCAAGTGGGTTTCCAAGACTAAGAGGAACTCTAAAGGGCAAGTTGACAGATATAAGGCAAGACTATTTGCCAAGGGATCCACACAGCAAGAAGGGATAGACTATAATGAAACATACTCACCAGTCTCAACCAAAGACTCTTTTAGAGTGATAATGACACTAGTGGCTCATTTTGATTTGCACTTGCATCAAATGGATGTAAAGACATCATTCTTGAATGGAAATCTAGAGGAGGATATATATATAAAACAACCAGAGGGTTTCATTCAAGAGAAGGGAGAAAATCTCGTATGCAAACTATGCAAATCAATTTATGGTCTTAAGCAAGCCTCAAGACAATGGTACATTAAGTTTGATGAAGTTGTTAAACAATATGGTTTTACAGAAAATGCATTGGATGAATGTATTTACATGAAGATGAGTGGGAGGAATTTCATCATACTAGTACTGTATGTGGATGATATTTTATTGGCATGCACAGATTTGTCAATGTTGCATAACTGCAAAGAATTCTTGTCCAAACATTTTGAGATGACAGATCTTGGTGAAGCAACCTATGTTTTAGGAATTGAAATAAGCAGGAATTGAGAGAAAGGAACTCTTGGTTTATCACAGAAGAACTAGATAGAAAAAGTATTGCAAAGGTTTAATATGCTAGGATGTGGTGGAACTGACATGCCAATTTCAAAAGGAGACAAACTGAGCAGAGAACAAGCACCAAGAACTGAGCAAGAGAAGGCTGAAATGAGTGACAAACCTTATGCCCCTTTGGTAGGAAGTCTGATGTATGCACAAGTATGCACCAGACCTGACATTGTTTTTCCTATTAGTGTGTTAGGGAGGTTTCAAGCTAATCCTGGACAGGTGCATTGGGTTGCAGGCAAAAGGGTATTAAGGTATTTGAAAAGGACTATGGATTACAAGTTGGTATTTAAAAGAAGTGACAGTGTGAAATTAGAAGGATTTGCAGACGCAGACTTTGCAGGTTGTAAGGATGATCTCAGGTCAACATCAGGATATGTGTTTACATTTGCAGGTGCTGCTGTATCTTGGAAAAGCATCAAGCAACCTCTCACAGTGGCATCTACAATGTTAGCAGAATTTTTAGCATGTTATGAAGCTACTACACAAGCAATGTGGTTGAAGAATTTTATTACAAGCCTGAAAATAGTGGACTCTATACATAAACCTGTACAGCTGTGGAATGACAATAGTGCAGCAGTCTTGTTTGCAAAAGGAAACAAAAGAACAAAGGCTTCGAGGATTTTAGATGTTAAGTTTCTTACAGTCAAAGAAAAGATAAAAGATGGCTACACAGTTTTGGATCATATCAGCACAAATGACATGGTAGCAGATCCTCTCACTAAAGGATTGCCAAAGGAAGCTTTTCACAGACATGTTCAGAATATGGGATTAATGGAAGATCACAGTGGCTAGATCAGTGGGAGCATTTCAGTTTTGTCTTAAGATTAGTGGTTATGTTTGGTTAATTAGTAAAAGTTTCGATGGATGATCTGGAAGTTTGAGAATTTATAAAGTGTTGTTTTGTTTTAATTTAATTAATTAGTCTGTTTGGATATATTTCATACTTGAATATATATGTAAGGTAGTAATAGCTAGCAAATAAAGTAACTGCTATAATACAGTATATTCATGACCTTTGTGCAGTTTTTGCAATTAGACCTTAGTAGTCATTAAGGGGCAATGAATGAAGCATGACTTGTTTTTGCACAGATAGTTAAGTCATGCAGATTTCTGGTTTCAATCTTGATCGAAGCCTTATGTGGTTTTGAAGGATTTCAGTTGTAATTATAGGAATCTTGAAATGATTTTGTTCAAGTAATTTCGATAGTTCACTGGAGTTTTTCATAATTGACAGTGGCTTAGTAGGAATTGCTCTATCTTGTTTCACAAGGCCTTAAAGTGATTACATCATGGACTGTTTTGATTATTTGACCAAGTGGGAGACTGTAAGACATTACATCGTCTTAATCCACTTTGAGATGGTCTTCTAATCACATGAGGTTAACAGTTTTGGTGTTAGTCAAGAAATAGGATTAGAGCAGATCTGCAGTTCTAGTTAAAGTGCAATATTAATTAGAAAACTAGAACCTTGAGAATTCCTAATCACATATGGATTGAAACACTTAATTCTAATGCAATCAGGATAGGATCAGGTATTCTTCGATGGGCAAAATACCTGAACCTAATGCATATAAATAGCAGCCCCTTCCCTAGCAGTTACATACACACTCTCAAAGCGATCTCACCCCATCCGAGAAAGAGATAAAGAACTGCATAGGCGAAGAAGGCTTCTATAAAATCCTAAGCTACCATGTTAGACCAAGGTTAGTATTTAAGATTCAAAGACAAGAAAGAACTTACAGCACAAATCCCAAATTTTGTATATTCCATAGTTGAACTACAATGGCAAACTCTTCACTGAAAATTCCACAAACCCATTCATCAGTTTATGCAATGCATACAAAAAATTTCACAAACCCAATCACTAAAAGTAATACCTCCCTGACATATAGAACAAAACCCTATACATAGGTAGATTCTATGAATAGGTACTGATACATAAGTCATTAGAGAGATAATAACAAAAAAAACCCATCTCAAATTTTGAAGCACTCGACCCAACCCAATGAGATCAAATGGGGTTGAAAATCTGAGAACGTTGTGGCATAGGTTCCGAGATGCGAATGATGACATTGATGAGGAGAATGAAACTAAAATGGGTGACTACCTAGGCCTTCTTCATGGTCCATGTGCTCCACTCTTCCACGGGATGAGCCACAGAGCTCTCCTCAGATTGAACTTTTCTTCTCTAAGACCATCTCCAACATTGGGATGGAAACCCAAATTTTTGGTTTTGAGTCCAAAATTCTTCTCCAAACCATGTCTTTTGGGAGTGAAAATTTGAGAAGGGTGAAATTTGAGGTGGAATTCCAGTCCAATCAAAAAGAAGTGGAAAAAGTTGGTCATGTGAAGAGGAAAAAGAAGTGGGCCCCTCGTGACAACAAAGTTGTCTGGGCAACATCCCTTTTATGCGACACATGGCAGCTTCAGGAGAGAGAGACATTGGAATCCAATGGCTGAATTTCAAAAGCTGGGTGGTTTTTTTTATTTAAATTTATTGCAAAAGCTACTTGTTTTTTTTTATTTAAAAAAAAGTGAAATTCTATTATGCATTGGAATTTTAATTTTTTTGGGTTAAAATGTTCACAAAATTAAATCACGAATATTGAAACAAAAATAATGTCAAGAAAAATTTACGACATAAAAAAATTATGGGTTAATCATTCTTAAACAATTTAATAAAGTTGTGGACTCAAATTATAAGTCTGGAAGGTTGGAGGAAAAAAAATTTTGAGTCCTGAAAATACATGAATAGTTGTATTTTGGAGGGTGAAAATTTGAGTTTAGTGAGACCATCTCCAACCATGTTGGGGCTAAACTTAAATTTCCACCCTCTAAAATACAACTATTCATGTATTTTAGGACTCAAAATTTTTTTTCCTCTAACCTTGCAGACTCATAATTTGAGTCCGCAACTTTATTAAATTGTTTAAGAATGATTAACCCTTAACTTTTTTTATCATTAATTTTTCTTGACATTATTTTTGTTTCAACATTCGTGAATTAATTTTCTAAACATTTTAATCTAAAAAAATTAAAATTCTATAAACATAACATTTTTTTTCACTTAAAATTAAAATGAGAATGATTGTAGAGTTTGAGAGTGGGATCTCATTTAGATAAATTTAAAATATTATTTTAACCATTTGATTTTAATTTTGATCATTGGATCTTCTTTTTCTCGTTAAAAATAAAGTTGAAAAAAATATGGGCTGTTTATATCTATTTGAGAAAGCTTGAAAAATGGCAAAAAGTTGGTTCCCCTTTACACATGGCCAGCTTTTAAAGGCTCCAATAGATTATATAAAGAATTAAAAAAAGAACAAGTAGATGGATAATTGGTTTTCAAAGGGAGCTGTTGGATTCCAACGTCCCTTTGATGTGAGCCTTCCATGTGTCTAGCAAATTTGCTTTGTCTTGTCATTCCTTCACATGCTGCACAAGTTGGCTTCAACTTGGGGCCCACAGAAATTCCACCCAAACTGGAAAGCTGGGCCAAATTCCACCCAAGATTTCAATCTGACCCAAACAACCACCCCTCATTATACATTGTTGGAGAAGGGTTTTGGGGCTATAATCCTAAAATTCAAGTTTGGCCCTCATGCCTGGAGATGGTCTAATTAATTTCTAATTTTTCATACATCAGAAGAAGATTTGAGAAGAAGAAAAAAAAGGAAAGAGAAGATGGATGCTTTGGTTGTTGAAAGCAAAAAAGGGTTAACATTGTTAATCTATATATATAAAGCAAAAGGCAGAGAATAGTGAAACATTCAAAATACCAAAAAATGTCTTAGGTTAATTCAAACATTAAGAATTGAAATTATTAATTAAATGAGGATAATATGGTAAATTCACATTTTTCATATTTAAAAAAATTAAAATTAAAAACAAAATTAGATAATAGGTCCTACTTTTATGGAACATAACTACCCATGTTATCTTTTCTTAATTCTAAAAATAAAATAAATAATAAATAATAAAACCAATTGGCACATGAGCATGTGCCAAGGGGCTAGTTTTTAAATAAAAATAAAAAATTTATTAATTTGATGTGGTATAATATGAACCATTAGATTATTGGAGTGGATCAGATTTTATGAAATGCACCAAAATACACAATAACTAAATGTCGAAGCTCGGGATCCGTAAAATGAAGTCAATCCATTATTTTAATATTATGTGCCATATATTTGTTCTAACTTATCCAACTCCAAAAAGAAGTGAAAAAAAAACTCCAAAAAGAAATTATATTTATTGCTTCTTTCAAATGGATCCCACATAATATAATAATACATTAAAGAGGTGAAGTTATCTCTTTAGATGCTCAAGGGATCCCTTTTACCTCGTGCAATGGCCACAAAGACAATTATGTTATTTATGAGAGATTAGACCTGCCTATCATTCGGTCTAATCATGGCCCAATTTGCATCTCTTGTCCTATTAGCTCCTACTCTACACCTAGAGTATTTAAGTTTGAGGCCATGTGGCTATCTCACCATGATTTCCTTCGAATTGAATAAGGCTTGGGATGAAACTATTGAGGCAACTCTGCCCAGAAAATTAGTACTTGTTGTAGAACCTTTCAATAGCTTTTGAAAAGTTGGAACATAGAGGTCTTTGGTAACCTCTTACATAAACTTAAGGCCATCTTCAATCATGGGCTATATCCCAAATATAGCCCTAAAATAATGCAAAACTCATCTTCAGCCATGGGCTAAACAAAATTTTGGCCAAATTTGGAAGGTCACATTTGGCCCCTTAGCCCTCCAATAGGGCTAAATGTAGCTTAGCTTTGGCATAGGCCAAATTTTTAGTGAGGCCCATCCATGTACTTTTCCACAGTCAACATTGATATATATATATATATATATTTTTAAAAGCCTTTTGAATGTTTCAATTCGTAGTGTTTAAGAAAAAAGTATAAAAAATTGTTAGCAATGACATTTGAGGTCAGACCTACCCACTCCCTTTAAAATAATAATAATAATAATAATACATGTGGTCAGCTTTTCAAATCTTTTCAAGTGTTGTTTAAATACAATTATAAAAAAGTGTTGTTCATGACCATTGGAGCTCAAACATTGAAACACATCCTTTTTTTTTTTACAAATTTATAAACAAACCCAATCCTAGACATGTATTTATAAAAAAATCCAAGTACTATTTAAACATAGAAACACACTCAAAATCAACCCCAAAGTCAACTTTTTGGGTGTGTTTATAAATAGGTTTTGAGTGTGTGTAATGATGGGTTTTGGGTGTGTTTATATGTTTAAATAGTGCTTGGGTTTTTTTATAATTTCAACCTCCATTTTGGGTGTTTTAGTGAAACTCCCTTTTTTTTTTGTCTTCACATTTTTAAATGTTTGGTATTGTTTAAAAAAATTATAAAAAATTCTGGGTTATGACCGTTGAAGGTTAGACCCTTGAAACCCTTCCAATTTTTTTTTAATTTAAAAATTTCCTTTGTTGGCTTAAAAAAAAAAAAAAAAAAAAAAAAAAAAAAGTTAATTAAATTATTAATAATAATATAATTGAATGAAAGATGATGTATGAGTGTGTTCTCTCTCTCTCTCTCTCTCTCTCTCTCTCTCTCTCTCTCTCTCTCTCTCTCTCCTCATGCACGGTCCGCTCTCTCTCTTTCTCTCTCTACCTCCTTTGATACAGTCATTCTGCAAACATTGACTGTTCGACTTCCCGACGAGGAATCGGTGACGTCCGGCCACCACTGGTGATGGGATCAATCAGAAAATGACCAGCTAGGGCTTGCGAACTCATCTAGGTAACTTTCCAGCCATGACAACCACTCACGGAGGCACTGGGAGCTTCTAAAGCTCCGGTTGTTTCATAATTTTTTGCCACCGTTCCGGCCACTCTGGTGGCCAAATTTGTCGATCCAAGTATGATTCTTCATCTACTCAATGTGCTCTAGTTGATCGTATGGTTGGTTTGGATAATTTGGAATGTTTAGAGATCGATCTAAAACCTAGGCTTTTCTCTGACTGTGAGGTGCTTTTCCAGCTAGCTTCGGCCACTTTTTGGTCGAAGTCCAAGACCAATACACGTTTGCCTAGGTGGGGTGGTTCTAATGGTATATGTATTGGCCGGCGATTTGGAGTTTTTCCGATCGCCAGAATTTATTCAAGCCACCCACCATTGCTGGTGGCTAGTAGCGGTGCGTGAGCCACTTTTTGGTGGTTCATTGAGTTCCAAAATACTCCCCATGTTGTCCCGAGCACGATAGTATGCTCGGATTAGAAATTGGATATCGTTTGACTATCAAACGGATATTACGCCTATGAGGCGATATCTAGGTTCGATATGTGAGAATCATTGGATTGGTCCCATTTTCAAATAAGTGGTTCCCAGTACCTCTAGGGTTGTGTAGGAACTTGTGGATCGAGAATCGGAATCTTGGATAGTTATGCGAGAGCGATCCGACCGCTTAATTGAGACCAAAAACTCAGAACTTGTTAATTATACATTGTGGGATTATAGGAACTTACAGATCAGTAATTGGAGGTTGTGGGCCCCATGGGCCTAATTGAACAAGTTCATCGATCGAGGTGAAACTGATTGTTGGATTGTGATGAAACTCCTGGGATGAGTTTAACTTCCTAATAAGGGCCAATAGGAATTGTTGGATAGCAAACTGGAGGTCGTGGACCCTACGTGCCCAGTTGACTTGGATGGTGGGCCATGTTGGCTTGGTTGAGGTCATTTAGTATGTTGTAATTGTGAGGGGATGTGGTTTAAAAAAGTAAAATAAAATAAGCGTTGTATTTCCGAACATTGACTTGCATGCATAAATGAATTTTAATGAGAACGTGGTCTATTTCTGATTTATTAGATTATGGAAAGTAGGGTCTAATCGAATTATGGTATTAGTGAGACTGTATGCATATCTGATGTTGGTTTTAACAATATCGTATGATCTTACTGGTATTGATTGCTGAAGATAAGGCATATGTTTTTTTAGTATGAATTTGGAAATTAATTTTTTTGGTTAAGGAGGTTATGAAAAGGTGTTATTGGATTAGTTTCGGTTTTTATAGTGTGACATGAGGATTTCAGAGAATATATAGTCATTATTATTATTAGTATTATTATTATGGTTTTTACTGTTGTTATGTATAAAGGTTTGCATGTTGAGTGGGGAGTGGGGCTATATATATATATATATATATATATATATAATATTGGAATATGGATTTTTGAATTGCACCATCATATGTACCTTCCTTGGTTCGATATAGATGATAACCACATGTGCGTTGAGGGATTTTCTGATGTGTGAGATATTGATGATCCGGGCACCCTTGGCAGGGTGTGCCGTAGGCCTTGACTGGCATTTCGCACGAGTAAGCCTTGTTTCAACATCTCTTGTATTGAGGATTCTACCTTGCGTGTCTGTGGAGCAATAGTCTCCCGGTTGGACTACTCATTCCCTAGCCACATGAATATTAAGGATTTTGCCATGTGGTCTAGTAAAACAATCCATGTGTTAGATTGTTTTCACCCGGTACATGATGTGAACTATGATATGTACCTCCCCTATTATTGATAGTTGATATATTAGGCATGTGGTAACTCTTCGGAGGTGTGTCGGAATATCAGGCACCCTTGACCGGGTGTATCGATGGCCTTGACCGGCAGTCTGCGCTCATAGGAGGGATATTCAGCTGCACATGTATTGAGGATTCTACCTTGTGTGTCTGGGGAGCAATAGTTCCCCAGTTGGACTGCTCATTCTCTAGCCACATGAGTATTGAGGATTCTTCCAAGTGGTCTAGTTAAAACGATCCCCATGTTGGATTGTTTTTCCTTGGTACATGATGATGGTATGGGTTGTGTAATATAGATATATACATATATAGATAATGGGTACAAGATTAGGAGAAGGAAAAGGTGAGTGTTATATGTGATATAAATTGGGTTTTGGGGATAGAGCGAATTGATACTTGTTTTGATATTGAATAACGTTACTGTCTATGCGAGCCTGGAATTCAAATTTTGTTGTGGAAAAAGGGATGTTCGGATATTGGTATTGGATTATTTAGATATCAGATTATTATTATAAATGTCTTACGTGTTCATCTTAGTTTATTATATTTATTAAGTAAATGAATAATGTTTATTGGTTTATTGCAAATTTGGTTGTGGGTGGAGTTTTTATTATATAATTATATGACCTTGTGTTTTGGGATTTGGGATAGTGGTTTTGAGTTCCAACTGCACGGCATTGAGGATTCTGTCGTGCGTGTCTGGGGATTTACTTCCAGCTGCACGGGCATTAAGGATTCTTTCGTGCATGTCTGGGAAATATGTATATGTAAAGATAAAAGTGTAATGGGAACAACGTGGGAGAAAGTCAGTATGAGTTTTATATTGTTATTTACAGTGGGATTTTCTTGCGTTTGTGCATTGAGACTACTTTTCATAGGCATTAGTATCTTTAAATAAGGTTCGATTGGAAACTTGGTTTAGACTGATTTATTGGATTGTATGCGAATAATTTTATTGCTGAAAAAACCATGAGTGGCTTGGTCCCCTAGTAAGGGTATATAGGAACTTAGGTTAACCTAGGTGCAGCCACGGAATAAACTGTGTGAGTTGTGCTTGAATCGCATTAAAATATATCACTGAATTTGTTAATGGTTACAGAGTCTTAAACTCGAAGTCGTTTGAGAGTAAGGTTTAGAATTCTTTTTGTTTTGGTGGGCCCGAAGCCCGATTGAGGTTTGAATTATATATGTATAACAAAGCCTGAGCCACTTTAGAATTTCTTTTAACGATGGTTGGAGTGTAGACCTTGCATGCAGGAAGTTGGTGAATTTGTTATGGATGTATGAAAGTATGTATATTAAAGGGTGACATTTAAAGGCCGGAGGCCTATGTCGTAGTTGTGTGTGATATTTCTTGTGTGTGCTGAAGTTTGGGAAGATTGAATGTGTTTTTATACATGTGTAAATTTGGAAAATGTTCAATTTTTAGGGGTGACTATGCCGAAATTTCGGTAGATGTCTTGCTCCTTTTTTCTTATTTGTGCGGGGTGGAGGGTTAAATTAGTTAGTGGGCTCGGCATCGTTTGTTTGTCGGAAGGGAAGTATGATTTGACACGGATTCGAAGGGGAGATTCGGGTTGGGGTCCTGTCAAGAACAACTAGCCTTGCATCCCACTAACTCTTATCTCTTGAATAGAGATCATTCCCTTAATAGAGAACTTAAGCTTCTTCTTGAACAAGAAGAGACTTTTTACGCTCACAAGTCAAGGGCTAACTAGTTGTAGTTACGTGATAAGAATACTAAGTATTTCCGCACTCAGGCTCTCATTAGCAGAAAAAGAATAAATTAAATAGACTACAACAATAAATTAAATAGACGACACTAAATAAATGACGAAGGCCATAAACATTGTCGTCTTATTTTATTAGACGACAATTTGTCCTTAAAATTGTAAGTATTGATGTGCACAGTTGGACCTCAAACCCATGCCCTAAATGTAACACAAAGCACAAGAAACCAACACAAACAAACGTCACCTTGTGTAAAAGTCAAGTGCGCTCAATATATATACTTTTAATGGGTTATTGACGGAAATGGTCTCATAATTTTTGCTCCATTTTTTATTTCAATAGTCCTCCAACTCTCTATTTAGAAATTGATCCCACCGTTAAAGTCGGTCAATTTTGTTGTTATATTGAGGGGTAAAATCGTCCATATAAACTAAAATATTAATAAAGTATTTTTTTTTGTTAAAAAGGAATTAAAAATTAAAGTAGAATATTGCAAAAATTATTACAAATTAACAAACATGAATTTGTTATCAGATATAGCCTCCCTTCTTAATGGCCTTTGATCAGAACAATGGATGCATTGATCTAGTAAAATGCGATTCAAATGGTCTTTCTCTCTCTTTCCCATCTTAAATCCCGCAAACTCTTCAATGTCGTTGACGTCACTTAGCAACGAAGTGTCGATATCTAGAATCTGCTTGGACTTAACTCCAAGCGGCCAATGCATGCTCCTAACCGCACTGCCTGTACACTCCTCACCCATTACTCCAAATTCACAGCTTGACGACCGTGCATTCCGATGCATGTGAGGTGAAAGCCACACTCGCAGTTGTCGTAGCCATCCACATGGCAGTGAATCTCGGGCTTACTGCAAAAGGGGCAAGCAGAGCCAAGAGCCGAGCGGGAACGTCGAAATAGAGAGACTGATTTTGCTTGGATCCGACAGTTGAGATTTGACACGAAACAAGGAGCAGTTTTGGTTTTGGTTTTTTGGCTTTGGGTTTCTCTCGAGGGACAAAGAGAAAATGAAGATAAAAATGAGATTGAAAGAGGAAAGGTGGTGGTGGGCTCTTGAGAAGTTTTTGGTAGGAGAGGAAGCTCATGGTGGGAAAGAGAGAGGGAGATAGAGATAGTGGTGGTGGTGGTGGGTGGTAGGTGGTGGGAGGACCATTTTACCCCTCAATTTAACGGCCACATTAATAGACTTTAATGGTGGGACCAATTTGACACTAAATAGAGAGTTGAATGACTATTGAAATGAAAATTTTAGTTAGGGGACCATTTCAATCCAAAACCCTACTTTTAAAATATTAATATAAATAATACATATATAAATAAATAAAATAAAAAATTGGGGGCCCTGTGTGGTGGCACTAGTTCCACACTCTCAGCGCCACCCTCGATTTGGGGATGTCATGTGAGAGGAGATGGAGGAGCTTGCGAGGGTATAGACTTTAATGTTGTTACCATTAGCTTGGGAGAAAACAAATGTGAAAGCACAAAATATTATTTAAGTTGACGTGGCTTCCTCGGGATCCATAATTTTAATTCAATGCTTTATCTTCCAATAGCTATAATTTAAAATTAATTTTTTGCTTGTTCAAGAACGACTTTAAATTTAATAATTTCTTAATTGGTGTTGTAGGTAAACTTTTCCTATAGGCAAAATTTGGAAAGTAGTTCAATTATGAACAAGAGCAACCAATGTAAGTTGCATACGACTTAAGCCGGGCAGAGTTCTCAAAAAGATAGGTACAGTTTTCTTGGGATGGCGTTTGCATTGAAGTGAATATTGTGGGAATGGTGTTGTGTAGAGATTTCTAAAAACTCTACAACCAAACTTTGAGAGTATAAATCACCTAGCAGGCCATATCTAATATGAAATCAAAGTAAGAACGGAAGCATTAAATAAACTAGGGATTCATGCAAGTCTTATTTAGTCCCAATCTTTATAAGTCTATGAAAGTGTGCACCAAAGACTCTCTAAATCCTATTTGAGAGAAAGATAAGATGTTCATACCCTTGGAGTGAATCTTGAAACCAAGAATGGTGCTCAAGTAGAGGGAGTGGTCCCTTTGTTGTTGGCTCTCCCTTTGATGTTGATTCTCCCCCTTGTAACTCTCCAAATAAGTACAAAGATATGCACCTCCCCAAAGCTTTTCACCAAGGATTGATTGGGATGAGAGAATGAGTAGACAACAAGTGAAGAGTGGTGCTACCACCCTCACTTGATGTGACCGGTTCAAGGGGTTAGGGAGAGAGAGTTTGATGTTTTCTCTCTTCCAATTTTACCAACTTGAAAACCCCCTTAGTGTGACATGATACTAAAGTTGCACACTTATAGGATCAAAAATGTCATAAGAGTGCCAAAAATACCCTCATGCCCTAGTGTAGCCGCACCCCCCTTGTGTGTCAGCTTTTGTGCTATCTTGGTCCAACATATTAATCCCATAATGTGTCACATATGTGTCTAAGTCCATATGGTCAAATCCCTTTTGAATTTTCAAGTCATATGGGACCTTTAATTAAAGTTTCATAACTTTAATTGAATAATTAAATTAATCTAATCAATTTAATTACTCTAGTGACTTAACTAATTTGATAGCTCACTTGTCTAACGAGTGTTGGTCCCGGTCATCCTTAGTTGACCGTGTCAAGTGTTGAGTCAATCATTTGTCCTTGGTACAATAGAATTTAAATATATAAGTGAAAATTTACGATGGGTCATTACAATTTTCTTTTTTGGTTTTTGGGTAAGTAGCTCTAATTTCCTTTTTTATTTTTAGGTAAGTAGCCTGATTTCCTTTTTGGCATCCACAAATATGGCAAGAAAAATTTGACTCATTATGACACCCATATACACAAAAGCAATCATATGGCAACAAAGAAGGCAAGATATCTGTACATATGGAACTTCTGTTATAAATACATCTATAGGCTTGGTTCATATATCATAACCACTTTTGTTTTATCTTGGATAGATATTAACTTAAGCCCTTAGATTTTCATTCTTCCTCCATCACCATCATCTTGAGCCATCATGAATGTGAACATTGCCTCCAACAAAACATCCAAACAATCTCAACTGAACCAAACATTAAACCGAAACAAAAATCAACTATGTCGTAAGTTTATGATTTTGTCCAAAGAAATTCGTGAGCTCAAACAGACGACCGGGACAGAAGCCAGTATCTTTGTCGTGACCAAGGACAACAAGCTCTATTGTGTCAACGGGCAACACCGCTTCCAAGACATGCGAGCCCATGTCTTTGATACAAACGTTTCTAATGATGAAATGGGGGAATCAGAGAGCAAAACCCTAGACTCGAGTGTGCATGAGGATGAGAGTCAATGCACATTTAACCGGCAGATTGGGACTATGAGCCAAGAGGAAGATCTGGAGAAGGCTCTCACTCCACCTCATGTGGTTTGGCGTGAGGCTTTTGATGCCGCCACCTTGGATGCTACTGGTGATGGCAGGTCTTCGAATGTTGATAGAGATGGCAGTGCTACTACAACTGTTTCTTGTGCCTTTGGATCTAGATTAGGACGGAGTGGCATCAGGCATGCTTGTTAGAGAGAGAGAGAGGTAGGGGAAGGTTCATTAATGGTGTCTGCTTTGCTATGACACTACAATGTTTTTATTTTAATTTTATAGTTCTTTTATGGAGGAAAGGAGTGTTTGGTTGATTTTATGTGTGGGTTTATCATGCGTTGTTTCATGTTTAGAAAAGAAATTATGTGTGGTAATGTCATAAAATATTGTTGAATTTGATTCCCATTTTCAAGAAGCTTCTTGGTGTTATGCTTGTCATCTAATTGATAACTTTAGTAGGGGAAGATGTTGAATGATTTTTTGTGTTATAACTAGTATGTAATTGCAAATCAATCTGTAATTTTACAGTGATAATAAATTTGGATGATACAAACTAGTATCATAAAACTAAGGTAGTAATGGAATAACAATTTTTTCCTTTATAAACTTACTTGTATCATTTTTGTAAATTGTGATGTACATAAAGAAATTCAGGGTACCTTTGATAAGATTGAACTAGATGAAAATCGTCGTTGTTTATCTGTAAAGACGGCTTTTCACCGTCGTTGTTTATCTGTAAAGACAACGGTTTTTAAAGAAAATCGTCGTTCTTTAGAGGTAAAGATCATTAATTATAGGAGGAAAGACGACTGTTTTTAATAAAACCGTCATTCATTGTATGTAAAGATGACGATTTTTTTATGAAAACCATCGTGGATTGTTTATAAAGACATCATCTTTACATACAATAGACGACCTTTTTTTATAAAAAGCGTCATCTTTACGTACAATAGACGACCTTTTTTTATAAAAAGTGTCATCTTTACGTACAATAGATGACAGTTTTTTTATAAAAAGCGTTATCTTTACGTACAATAGACGATGGTTTTTTTTTATAATAAGCGTCATCTTTACGTATAATAGACGACCTTTTTTTATAAAAAGCATCATCTTTACGTACAATAGACAATGGTTTTTTTTTATAAAAAGCGTCATCTTTACGTACAATAGACGATGATTTTTTATAAAAAGCGTCATCTTTACGTACAATAGACGACGGTTTTTTTATAAAAAAAACATCATCTTTACGTACAATAGACGACGGTTTTTTTTATAAAAAGCGTCATCTTTACATACAATAGACGACAGTTTTTATAAAAAGCGTCATCTTTACATACAATAGACGACGGTTTTTATAAAAAGCGTCATCTTTACATACAATAAACGACGGTTTTTATAAAAAAGCGTCATCTTTACGTACAATAATGTTTTTTGATTTCCTATGATGCTATACAACGATTTTAACTAGAAAACCAACCATAATGCTTTATCAAAAATAGTTTCTTTCATAAAACTTGAAGATTCAATAGTTATTACATAGTTAACCAATCTTTATTCTACAACAAACATAATTCCTAACAAGACCTACGTACTCCTAATCCAAGCATTCCTCATCCAAACATACAAATGATGCACAACTGAAGTCTCCTCCATCATCCCTGTAAATAAATCAAAATGACAAAGAGAGAAAAAAAGAAGAAGCTAAGATTATAAACATAAAAAATTAGGTGGAAGAGAAATTTTACCATTGGTCCATATTTCCATAGAAAACTTGTAAAATGAGCATAAAAAAGACCATCGAGAACCTGCAAATTTTCAACAACAAAAAAACATACGACTCACATAGAAAACCTGCAAAAGAAAAAGTTATAAATCTGCAAGCTTCCTCCTTATCTCCTGATAACCAAATCAGAAAATCTAAAAAGAAACCAGAAATAAAATAAAAAAATGTAAACAAATCAGACAAATCAAGAGACAAAATCTGAAATTAAATAGACAAAAAACATACCAAAAACGCAAAGAGACTAATCCAGAATTCACTAGCAAGATATAGAAGGGTATTAAGAGATTAGGTGACTTTCAAATCAAACCTTTCAACCAGCTTTGATTCTCAAATACAGAACATCCCTCTACATCTTATGGATTTGCTAAGACCTCAATCTCTCAACTCCTTCATTGATATCGATTTTTTGATGATTTTGTAGAGAGTTTCATGAGGGTGTTTTAGAGAGTGCAGGAGGGTTTCAAGGAGGGAGAGATAAGGTTTTCAGAGACGGGGGAAAATCTGAAAATTTGTTGAGTGCAAATTCACTTAAGTAGACTTTTTTTAGTGTGTTTTAAAAGACGACGCTTGTTAATGAGAGATAAGATTTTCAAAGATGGGTGAAAATTTGAAAATTTGTCGAGCGCGAATTCACTTAAGCGGCCTTTTTTAGCGTATTTTAAAAGACGACGCTTTTTTTTTAAAAAAATTGTCATCTTTACATATAATAGACGACGGTTTTTATATAAAAAGCGTCATCTTTACATATAATAGACGACGGTTTTTATAAAAAGCGTCATCTTTAGCGTGTTTTAAAAGATGCCGCTTGTTAATGAGAGATAAGATTTTCAAAGATGGGTGAAAATTTGAAAATTTGTCGAGCGCGAATTCACTTAAGCGGCCTGTTTTTAGCGTATTTTAAAAGACGACGCTTTTTTTAAAAAAAAATTTGTCATCTTTACATATAATAGACGACGGTTTTTTTAATAAAAAGCGTCATCTTTACATATAATAGACAACGGTTTTTATATAAAAAAGCGTCATCTTTACATACATAGACGACGGTTTTTTATAAAAAGCGTCATCTTTACATACAATAGACGACGGTTTTATAAAAAGCGTCATCTTTACATACAATAGACGATTTTTTACCGCTACACTCATTGACCCTATATGAATACAATGACCGAATTTGATCTTCAATTTAAAATATTTACACTACTAGATACCACAAAATCTTATGTTATATTTAACGAAAGTATAAATGAACTCTTAATTGTTAGTGAATATATTGTTTTGATGGCATACGCATTCTAAGAAACTAGTTTCAATGATCCAACCGTAAAACTTGTTTGTTTATACTTCAAGATCATATACGCCAAAAATTGGAAAAAATAAACATTCAGAGATCAAGTAACGAGACAAAAAATTTCGACGGTTATAAATGAAAAATCATGATTTAACGGTTATTTTAACTCCGATTTTGATGATTTTTTACCGCTACACTCCTTGACCCTATATGAATACAATGACTGAATTTGATCTTCAATTTAAAATATTTACACTAGTGGATACCACAAAATCTTATATTATATTTAACGAAAGTATAAATAAACTCTTCATTGTTAGTGAATATATTGTTTTGATGGCATATGCATTCTAAGAAACTAGTTTCAAAGATCCAACCATCAAACTTGTTTGTTTATACTTCAAGATCATATACGCCAAAAATCGGAAAAAATAAACATTTAGAGATCAAGTAACGAGACAAAAAAATTTCAATGGTTATAAATGAAAAATCATGAATTAAAGGTTATTTTAACTCCGATTTTGATGATTTGTTACAGCTACACTCCTTGACCCTATATGAATACAATGACTGATTTTTTTTTCAATTTAAAATATTTACACTAGTGGATACCACAAAATCTTATGTTATATTTAACGAAAGTATAGATAAACTCTTAATTGTTAGACGACGGTTTTTTTATAAAAAGCGTCATCTTTACATATAATAGACGACGGTTTTTTTATATAAAAAGCGTCATCTTTACATACAATAGATGACGGTTTTTATAAAAAGCGTCATCTTTACATACAATAGACGACGATTTATAAAAAGAGTCATTTTTGCATACAATAGAGGACAGTTTTTATAAAAAGCGTCATCTTTACATACAATAGACGACAATTTTTATAAAAAGGGTCATCTTTACATACAATAGACGACCTTTTTTAATAAGAAGCGTCATCTTTACATATAATAGACAACTTTTTTATACAAAGCGTCATCTTTACATACAATAGACGACGGTTTTTATAAAAAGCATCATCTTTACATACGATAGACGACGGTTTTTATAAAAAGCGTCATCTTTACATACGATAGACGACGGTTTTTATAAAAAGCGTCATCTTTACATACAATAGACGATGGTTTTTATAAAAAGCGTCATCTTTACATACAATAGACGACCTTTTATATTATAAAAAGCGTCATCTTTACATATAATAGACAACTTTTTTTATAAAAAGCGTCATCTTTACATATAATAAACGATGGTTTTTATAAAAAACGTCATCTTTACATACAATAGACAACGATTTATAAAAAGAGTCATCTTTACATACAATAGACGACGGTTTTTATAAAAAGCGTCATCTTTACATACTATAGACGACGGTTTTTATAAAAAGCGTCATCTTTACATATAATAGACGACGGTTTGTATAAAAATCGTCATCTTTACATATAATAGACGACGGTTTTTATCAAAACAACCATGTCTTTACCAAAAAAATGACACTTGATTTTTAAAAGACGACGCTTGTCATACTTGCCGTCGTTTTTTTTGGTCAGATTTTAACTCTGAAGAAAACCTTTTTAATAAGACGACGCTTTTTTATTTGTGTGCGTCGTTATTAAAAAATATTCAACAGTACCTCCGGTTTTTAGTTGTTTAAGTCACTTATCCACGACGGTTTTTTTTGTTACCGTCGTCTTTTTAAATACAACGACGGTTTTTTCTTCTACCGTCGTCTTTTTCTGGTCGTCTTTTTCACTTTTTGTAGTAGTGAATTATCATACTATACTTAATTTTAGTGTCAGAGAAAGAATATCATTGGCATCAAGCACTTGCTACCCATTATTATTTCATAATACACTTATCTAGTATGTTAGTTGTACGCATTTTATTTTCGACTATGAAGTGCTTGATGTAAGTATCGTCCTACCAATAACTGTATATTGTAGTGAAAAGTGTGTGTACGCTTGGTTTTAATAATTTTACAATCTTGTCTTACATTAATATTATTAGTTGGCTTAGGGCCAGTTTGGCATTGCTGTGCTGTGAAAATAATTGCTGTCAGATTTGCTGTCAGAGAAATCAGCTGTGAGAGAAAGTTGGCGTTTGGTAAAATTTTTGTTAAAAGTATTGTTGGTATTTATTTTATGCATAATCAAAAAATGATTGCCGCACAATTATTAAACCCAACGCCTCTTCGGAACTGATTTCTGCATAATCAGAAAATGAAAGCACCTCATTAGCTGCTTTCCCTTATAGCTTTCTCTCACAGCAATTTTTAACAATAAGTGATTTTCTCATAGTTTACCAAACGGGTTGGGCTCCTCAAAATTTAAAAAAAATCACTTATCACCCCAAATAAGCAATGCTAAACTGGCACTTAATCTGAGTTTGCATTGCACCGAGATTAATTTCGTGTAAAAATGGATCATATCGTAAAGCCTACATATTGTAGAAGCATAATCCGTGTTGCTAGATATGTGTTATTTGTGTCATTGTTTGGGCCTGGTATTTACATGCCCAATATTGGAGACATATTGGGCCAAACCATGGCTTGGGCTTTAATATTGATGGAATATTCGGACCAATTAAATGGTTAATAAGGAAATTATTTTTTAATTGATAATTACCTAAAATAAATGGATATTCTCGGCAATTACTTGGATGCAAAGGCAATCAAGTAGATAATTGATTATAATTGATTGTAATCCAATTCTAATCGTGACTTAATATGAGATTGTCTCTTCCGCACTAGGGTTACATACATATAAATGGAGAGAATTGCTTCAAAGTAAGATGCACAACTTTTCAACAAGAAACACTACATAAAAATCCTAGCTCTTTCATTCAAAGACCGGTTTCATTGTTTATTGTTTTACCAGCTTTCCTTGGTATCGATTGTCATATGATTTTCATTAGCTGAAGGCCATTATGATCATCAAATTGCACTGATCCTATACTTAGTTGCCACTTGATACTGCGTTCTATCTTGATCCATAATGTATACAAGGTGATGGAAACTTGTACTTCTGATCGAACTTGACCATCTGTTTACATATATTTACTGTTTTATTTACGTTCATTACCCTTTATCATTTGTATTAGAGAAATATGAAGTCCTTATTTATCTCAAGGCATAGAAAATAATATCAATTGAATAGTTTACCTTTCAATTCACAATCTCTTGATTAGGATCAGTTTATTAGTGCGAAAATCTTTTATTCATTTATTTAGTTTTATTTATATTTCCATCTATTAGAATTATTACATTGCTAATAGTGGCACACTTGTATCTCAAATTTTTCTTCAAAACCTCTTCTAGTTCTTTGTTATTTTTCAGGGTAGTAAACATATTTTGGTATGCTCGTGGGACCTCTAATACACATATTGCTAACAGTTTATGTTGCTGTATGCGTTACAGGGACACAAAGGGTAGATTATGCAGTGAACAAATGTATCGCCAACAAATGGTTGATACTCCTCCACGGATGAGAGATGGTCAAGAGACTACCAACTCTGATGACAATGTGGGACAAGCATCTGTTAGATCCAATAGCTCTCATAGATCTAATGCTGATAGAGCAAGGCTCCAACATGTTGAGCAGGTGGTTGACAACTTGAGCCACAAAGTTCACTACTTTCTTGCCAGCCAGGAATAACAAAACAGGCCCTTATTCTTAAAAGATAGGCAAGCATAGATGCACCATGCTGATCCAAATGTAGTGGTGCAATGATTGGATTTACAGAAACCATTAGATGGTTAGAATGTTTAGAATAACCATAATGACCAAGGGAATCCAATTCTAATCCCAGTAGAGGCCAACAACCAGAATGACATGGTACCAGTGATACCAACAGTGGAAGATAGACGAGTGGTACCATACAGACCACCAAGACCAAATGTGGTGGAAAATCTAGCAACTATTCTTCATTGGGGGAAAACTTGTTTGAAATCAGAGAAACCATTGGGAAGATAACATGAGAGAGAGAGAGAGAAACTGGTGAGCAGCAGTAGCTGGATATGAAAGGTTCAAACGAGAAGATCTAATAGAGGATGAATATTCCCAATCAGAATTAGAATCCAATGAATAGAGATGAAATCAGAAGGCTAATCACTGAGATGACTGGACCAACAGTAAGAAGGCATGATAGGCTAGTCTATAGAAACCCTTATCCAGATCATGTTGATAGATTGTAACTTCCACAAGGGTTAAAGGTTCCTACTTTTAAATTGTTCAATAAGGAGGACAACTATGCTTTTAACTCTTTTCCATATTGGAAGATTCTCCACACAGTGTGTTGGCATTGAAACGAACCCTTTGCTTAGATAGAAACTTTTTGGTAGATCACTGTCGGGTCAAGCTTTCACTTGGCATACTAATATATCAGCCAACTCCATTAATACAGTGGAGCAAATGGAGAATACTTTCCATAATCACTATTATAGGATGCAACCAGAAATTACCATCAATGATATAGCCGATTTGAACCAAGAAGAAAATAAATATGTACAAGATTTCATTTCTTGGTTCAGAAAGTTAAATGTGAAGTGTAAAATCCCACTAGAAGAATGACATTATATCTTTATGGCTCAGAGAGCTTTGAGAATCCCTCTACACAAGAAATTCGACGGTGTGTTGTTTAGGGATCTCAAAGAGCCTGCAGATATGAAGAGTTGTAGCGACAAAGTATTGCAAAGGAGGAATGCTTCCAAGGGAACCTACTGCAAGTTACCAATTGCAGTACATCATATTGAGATCAACAATATTGAGGATGTAGAGTCAGAACAGGACAAAGCAGAAGTAGCATCATGTAAGATGATGAATCCCAAGGCACCGATAGTATGCAAGACTTTGGTTAAATCAATTAGAGAATAGAAAGTGCCTCATAGTAGTTTCATTCGAGCCGCAACCAAACTTTGTTCTTTCGATTTATCTAAAGCAGGGGCATTGTTTGATGAGTTGCTTACTAAGGAAGTCATTGAGTTCAAACATAAAATGCCAAAACCTGAAGAAATCAATCGAAGGCAATACTGTAAATGGAATAATGTTTGGTCTCATCCCATTGTTAACTGTGTGAAATTCAAAGACATTGTCCAGGAGGCAATTAATAAAGGAATATTCATCATTGGGGAGAAGGCACCGGCTATGTTGAATGATCAGAATCCTTTTCCACCACTACAAGTTAACATGGTGAATCTGAATTGCCCAAATCATACCAAAAGAAGAATAACTGTGGAAACAAATGCTGAAGATTCACTAAAGCCAATGAAACTCATACGGCCTAAAGCTTCAATTTCGCTTGGAGTGGTTTTATGCTGTAAATGTAAATGTGAATGTGACCTAGAAATTGAAGCACATGGTCAAAAGATGGATCAAGTGCTCAAAAGACATCCAGTGTTTTTGATGGACTCAATTCTGATAAAATTGATGGGTTTGGCCATCGATGATTATCACCCAAAAGAGAAATTTCCAAGCCATTTGCCAAGATATTGCGTCCAAAATCATTACAGCCTGAAATTAAAGTCAGTTCTGATTCATTGAAATTGTCAATGCCATATAGAAAGAATAGGCTTGTTGTGATAACCCAATCCTAAATTAATATTTACTTACTAAAATATTCAAATAAAAGACAATTTTACTCCTAGAATATTTTACTGTGTTTAAAGTTGACTTTTTTTTTGGGAAAGAATTTGGGGATTTTAGTGGTACCCTTGTGTAGATTGCGTTGAGATGAGTATGTAGACACGTAGTGGGCTCAAATCGAAGCTGTAACAAAGAAGTTACAAGTTACAGAAGCCTAGTGGCATAATTGCAAATATTTAAAAGTTCAGTTTTGAAAAACCCAAAATTTTCTTCATCTCCCTCTCATCGTTCACGAGCAGCCAACTTTAGATGGAGATATCTCCGCCGTCCAGCCACCAAAACTGGTGCCACAACTTGCAACAAAGAGATCTCTCTCCTCTTTTCATATATACCATATGTAGCCTTGATTCCAAGTGATTAAACGATAAATTCGAGCCAAAGTGAAGCCCAAAACGGGCTGTTTCGAAACCGAAACTTTCGAGGGTCTTTCAGGCCAACTCCAGCCACCATTGGCCGTGCTATCACACCCAAACCACTCACCTACCTCCCCTCTGTAATTTCCCTCGAAGACCCAATGTGATTCCATCCCTCGAAGACCCCATTGATTCCATCCCAATCTTCTAGGTTATTAGAAGAGAAAATTGTTCGTTTGAGGGCTTTAATGGCCAAATTAGTCTTCGACTCAGGTATGAAACTTACTCCTCTTGATGTGCTTGATCTTTTGGCATTGGTCTTGACCGACAGTTTGGAGATTTTCCAATCGTCGGAATTTAATATGTGCACCCATGCGCTACTGAAGCGTGTTTCTGGTAGGCCATTGGGTTCTAAAATGATCCCCATGTCGTCCCGAGCATAACGGTATGCTCGGATTTGAATTTAGTTATCATTTGACTGTCGATCAGATATCGTGTATTGGGCATTATCTGAGTTTCAATATGTTCGGACCATTGGATAGACTCCATTTTCATATATGTTGATCTAGCCTCTGATTCAATGACTTAAAGTTTTCGTTAAACGATTACCATCCAATCGTGCTATGCGAGCGATCCAACTGTTTGTTTTGGACCAAACTTGAAGGACATGTATAGTAAACCTTGTTGAACCCGTAGGAACTCTCGAATCGAAAATTGAGGTCGTGGGCCCCGCAGCCCAGTTGACCAAGTTTGGGCAGTTTGACCCCTCGGTTGACCGTGAGTCTTCCGAGGTAGTTCCACCATTTGAGAAGTACTAGAATGACCTTATAAACAAGTCTTGACTGTTATTTGAGTTATTTTGATTATGTTGGAATTATGAGATTGTGTTATTGTATCTTATGGAATTTCTTGCATAAGTGAGTTTTGATTAAAAATTGATTTAATTTGGGTTAATAAGGATATGGGATCCCTAAGGGTTAATATTTTACATTATTTATTATTATTATGATTATTATTAAAGTATATGACTTGGTGATATTCGGTTGTTTATGAAAGTTTATTGTTTTAATTGTGGAATATAATATTTTATGAAAATTATATGTAAAAAAGTTTTGATTATTATTTGAATTATTTTGGGGTCTTGATACGAGATTATGTTATGGGATTAACGGACTTTAATTTGATGTTGAGGTTTGTGAATATTTTTGGGTCTTTATGAACTTTATGCTTGAGAAGGAATTTTGGCTACCCATTTAAGAACTAATTTTTGGAAAGTTGAGAAAAGATTTGGAAAATGGATTTGTGGAATATGGGGAACTTTATGATAAGTTTCAGAATATGGTTTTCAAACCCACCACAGGAGTACCCCTCAGTTGCCTTTGGAATAGTTTAGTCAGTTATGATAATGCCCCACGAGTCTCGAGGACGCTTGAATTGTGTGGTGCGAGGATATGCGTTCTCGGGCTAACTACACGTCCCCCGAATTTTGCATGGATGTGTGTTCTCGGGCTGACTACATGTCCCCTGAGTTCTGCATGGATGTGCATTCTCAGGCTGACTACACGTCCCCTGAGTTTTGCGAGGATGTGCGTTCTCGGGTTGACCATATGTCCCCCGAGTTCTGCAAGGTTGTAACAGACTTGGTAAATAGAATTGACGAAATATTATTGGAATTGACGGAATATTATTGGAATTGACGGAATATAATCAGAATTGGCGGAATATTAAAGTTATTGATGGGTTATGAATGGGGATACGCCTAGGTGGAGAGTAATTGAGTTTTAAGATGTTTTAAACTAAAATTGATGATTTTATCTTGGTACTTATTGGTAATAGTTTTAATATACATCTTTCGATTTATGAGATAGGGATTGAAGGTTTTTCTCAGTTTTAAGGATTTTATACAATTCACAACTATTTTCTTAAGTAATGAGCTATTATATATATATATATATACATATGTAATTGTGTATGCATATACGTGATGGGTGGAAGATCGTATGAAATCAATATCTTTTGCTTGAGTTTTAGTGGATTGATTAGAGTTTGAAACCTTTAGTTTTGGGAATGTGTAAAGGAACACTTCATTCATTTGCTTATATATGGATTGAATTTTATTTTCTTGTGGAAAGAACTACGTGTGGCTTGATCCCTCGGTAAGGGTACGTAGGCAACCTATGTTAACCTAGGTGCAGCCGCAAAATAAACTGTTGAATTATGCTTTGAAATAGTTTAGTTGAAATCCGTTGCAATTGAGAAAATTTTGGATTACAGTTAATTCTTGTTTATAACAAGGTGAATGTCAGTGTTTTGATTACGTTGTACAGGCCTGAGCTCCATTGGAGTCACTGTTGAATTGCGTATGGACGAAATTCTTGTATGCTAAACGATTGGGAGTATAGAATTGTGTTTTCTACAAGTGCAAATAATTTGGTAAATGTTCATTTTTCAGGAGAGACTTTGCCGGTTTTTTAGTAGAAGTCAAACCCTAAAGCAGTTTTTGAATTAGGGCAAAAATGGCAGTTTAGTCATTCATTTCGATACCTGCCAGGTGTTAGACTCACACGGGGATCGACATGGATTTCAAAGTGGAATTTGGGTCGGGTTCTATCACTTACACCTTTAGAAGACATGAGACCAACTGTAATCATAGAAGGATGGTGGTATGTTGGAAAAGATGGGAAACCCTCTTTTGAGCTAAAGAAAACTCAAAAGAGAAGGGTATCCAAAGAGAGTTTTGTATTGCGAGGGAAGCTAAGAAAACACCGTAGATTCTCAAAATTCAAGTGGTGATCTCGGAGCAAGATAGGGCATCTTCTCAAGCATCATATTCAAATCCAATTATCGAAGATGAAATTAAAAAGTTGAAAGGGAAAGGAATCAAGATGAAGGTATCCAAAGAAATGATTATTTTGGAAGTCCACCTCCAAAGAACTCGGATGATTATAAAACTTGGAGGAAATTCCGCATTCGGAATCAAGGAGACCTCATTCCGAAAGTTGGGAAAACCTCCACAACACCCCATATACAATCATAAAATGTAGATTGCTATACAACCCCCGCCCTACCCAAACTATGACCTCAATCGAATTTAACCCCCTGAACTAAAAAGTCAGCTAATTTTAACATCTGAATTAATTAAAATGGCCAATTTAGCCCTAAGTTTTGTGAATTTCATCCAATTTTTCATTAACTAATAAGGGTAAATTTGTAATTTTTGTTTTCATTTTATTTTTCTTATTATTTATTATTTATTTTCTCTTTGTTTGTTTTTTTAAATATTTATTTTTCTCAAAACCCCAGCCACATCCAGCACACACTATGGAAGCCAACCCAAAGGCACGTCGTAACATATACAACCCACCACACACCAATCCATGTTTTTGAACTCTTGCTAAACAGAAGATAACAGACTCATAAGTCAAAATCCTTTTTATGCGAAGTAAAAAAGCATAAATTCTTAGTTTAATGAAACTCATAAGTTTGCCGGAGATGGCGTATATGGTTTCGCTGAGCTCGACCAGGCCCCAGTAGGCGTGGGACAATGGCCCATCTCAATCTAAAGCAGAGGTTGGTTTCGATTCTTCAATTAACACATTTTTCCATCACCGTCAGCGTATCAGCTTTGTGTTGCCGACACCACCTCTCATAACCCCCTAAATCTTCTCAAACCCAATGACATATATATATATATATTTTGCAAATAATGAGTAATGGAATATTCAAGAGCCCAATACATAGAGTCACAACAAAGCAAAGATGAGGGTATTTGTGGGCCCATGAGGTATCCAATGAGGAAAGGAACAGGTTCCAGGAACTCGGTTTTGGAGGGAAGATCCTATGGATCGCTGGAAAATCCACATTAGGGATAGGGTAATGGGTTTTTTGGTGGGGGGGGGGGGGGGGGGGGGGGGGGGGGGGGGGGGGGGAGAAGGTGGGGGTAAATTCGGGATCGTTTGGTCGGGTGTGTTTATTTTTCTATTTTATAACTATTTTACCTTTTATAATATAATAATATATAAAAAATCAAATAGTAAGTCACATGGATGACATGTGACTTTTTGGAAGGAAAAATAGATGAAATTCGAAAAAATTAACGGTAAGGTCTAAATTGGTGATTTTAATTAATTTAGAGGCTAAATTAATTGATTTTTTAGGTCAGGGGGTTAATTTCTACAAGGCTCCTAGTTTAGGGGGTAAAGCAACTGAAAATCCTAAAAGTAATTCTGATAGGACATCCGAAATGGTGCTAGCTCTTATTTTAACGCCTTATGAGATGGTAACCCCAAAGGTCGATCCTGATACGATAAATGGTTAAGAGATTTTTCCAGGAGCATAAAACTCCATCAGAATTGAAACTAATGCATCATAATCACATCAGAATATTGATGAAGACTCTTTACACCTTTAAGATAATGATGAAGATGTCAACATGAACGACGATGATATTGACTATGATGCTGAATGGCCAGCTCTAGAAGAAATGATCGGTGATGATGATCATCTTACAGATATAGGTGAAGATCTTTATATGGTACTTATGCTGACCCAAAAAAAAAAAAAAAAAAAAAAAAAAAAAAAAAAAAAAATCCTTTTCCTTTTTTCCAAAACAAACTTAGGGTTTGACTTCTTTCAGAAAACTGGAGAAATCTCCCTTGAAAAAGGCTCTAAACCCAAAATCCACCTCCAACAAAAACACATTTTACAACTCCCAACTGCTCGACATACACAATAAATAATTCACATGTATCCAACTATCAATCATTAATATAAATTCGGTCTCAAACCCTCTCAACAACTTTAACAAGTTTCCTAGATCAATCCTGGCGTAGTTGAAGATGAAACAAAACATTTAATCTCGCGGCTGTGTTGCCTACGTACCCTTTTTGAAAGATCAAACCGCACGTAGTTCTTAAAACAATAATAATAAAAATAGCAACAGTTTGATTCCATCTTAAATCCACCTCAACTTACATATACCATACTTATTCTAGTGAAATAAAACATTCACCACTATAATAATTGTTTCCATTCAAACTGATCAATGTAATAACAAAATCTGAAAATACAATAATAATGATTCACAATTAACAAATTTTTGGAAAAACTGATTCCTTTCCACAAGACTTAATTCCGAACTCATAAGCATATATAAAGTACTAATACTGAACATAAGTATAAAACTCAGAGGATTGCTGGTCATACACTTGTGTGAACCACATTCACACAAGCAGAGCAAGGAACTGGCCAATACAAAGAAGTAGAGCAATCCTGGTCATACACTTGTGTGGACGCATCCACACAAGCAGAGCATTCCTGGTCATGCACTTGTGTGGACGCATCTGAAGGAAACATATATTTAAATTGTTTTAATTGAATTTTAAGCCACAATAAACATGAATCAACCATTCAAAAGCAGAAGCTAATTATTAAACCATACTCAGCTAAACTCTATTCAATTTTAGCCAAGTATCTTGAGGTCTAATCTCTAGTATGCACAAATCAAAAAAGGAAGAAGGTTAGATTACCCTTAAAGCTCATCTTGGTTGAACTAAGTTATACACCTTAGGTATGGCATGGTTTCTTCTCTTGGATCTTCTAGAATTTCTTCAACAAAGGCATAGATGAGATACCCTTTAGTTCACCACCAAATTCATAAAGGTGAAGTGAAGAGCAACAGAGTGGAGATGCTAGACTCCTCTTGGTGGACTAATTTTTAGCAAAGGTGAAGGGAGAATTGTTTATGCAAATTTCTCACGGGAGAGTATTCGTGTGTAGATCCTTCACCCTTTGAGCTTCCTTCTCTCTCTTCCTTGGTTCATGCAAGATAAATGGGAGTAAAAGACCACACTCGGGGTCTGTTGGCCAAAGGCCCTCAGATGCCTAAGTTAGTTCAATTGGATCTTTGAGAAAAGATGCGGCAATAGCTAAAAAGAACAAAGTTTTCTCTCACGGGGAGAGCTGGGTGGCCTTAGTTATGTGTGGCGGCTAGAGCTGTGTGAGGGAAAGTGTAGAGAGAGAGAGAGAGAGAGAGAGAGAGAGTGGGGTTCTTGGGTAAAGATCGGATTAGGTTTAGAATTACCTCATGTGTTGAATGTGGCTGAGTATTTATAGGACTCTCGCCATCTAGGGTTTTTCAAAGAATAATTCCTATTTAGAAGGAAGATATTCTTTCCCTTAAATGGAGAGATTGAGTCAATTAGGGATTTCGATTAGGATTAAATCCCTAATTGATGATAATATCCCAAAAATAAGATAATATCCCAAATTAGTGATATTATCTTTAATTGGTGATTATATTCCCAAATAAAGATAGTATCCCATATTTAAGATAATATCCCTATTTTTGGTCTCAATTAATTGGCCAAATAAATGACCTAGGTGATCCTCTTCTTGTCCACGGGGCGCCTTGTGATTGGAAGCTAGAATATTTGCTCCCACAAGAATCTCACCTTCAACACCACAACCTAAAAACATAGGGAGGCTCAAAACCCTAACTAGATAATGGTCATATGTGTGACTTAAATAGGTAAGACAGAAAAATGAGAAGAATCCCTCACTATCAAAACTGGCCATGGGTGGTCTTGGGCTTCCCTTGGATTCTCTTGAATTTTTATTGTCATACAACACTTGTTCTTGGGCCCAATGGGTCTTTGGGAATGTAACTTTGCTTACCAAAGTGGTCTTACTAAAATTAAATAAACAACCAGTTCAAGTATTTTTCTTTTTACCCTTAAATGATTTAAAGCCCAAACCTAGTTTTATGTCTAACTAATTTTATAATTAATTTTTAATTATGATTTATGACTTAACTATTAAGTCACACTCATGGTCTAAGTATTTTGACTTGGTCAATTGTTTTGGTCAAGCATATTGACTTTGACTTGGTAGTTGATTTTGACTTTTGACCGTTGTCTTTGACTTTTGATCCCAGGTTACTTTCCTCTTTATTTGTCCCTGTCCTTTAGGTTCTTTAAATTATGTGGGTGGCGTAGCTACCGAGATCAATGCAGTCAATTATGTCTCTCCTAGAAATTGGTTAGCTACTTCTCATTTTGTTCTAGGATTCTTCCTATTCATAGGTCATTTATGGCACGCGGGAAGGGCTCGTGCAGCTGCAACAAGATTTGAAAAAGGAATTGATCTTGATTTTGAAAGGTAGTGGGTTGACTCAACTCCTCTGAATGGATTGTGAATTAAATCCCATCATTTAATTCTTATTGATGAAGGTCAATTGTGATTTTGAACCTCATCGGACTTCCACAATCCATGGTTGACGCTGAGCAGCATGTCATGACTATCCAAGCTAAATATGAAATGGTGAAGAACCTATTCAAGTTGGAATGATCGTGCAATTGAATCCTTCTCATGTACAATATTCCTTATTCACATTGTTAGATTATGGAATCACATGTCGAAACCTTAATGTGAATTATGTCTTATATGATTATCCTAGTAATGATTTGAAGACTTCTTCTTTCAAATCTTATCCACTACTTTGCGCAAAGATTTGATCAATCATATCTCAGAGTATTCTCTCTCCCTATTGAGAGCAGAGATTCCTTGTTGTACATTCATTTGTCTCTGTGACTTTACCAAGAGTCCCAATAAGCACCTTTGGGTCATGTCTTTATAACATTACTGTACAGTGCCTTCAAAGAAAAACAACATAGCCACAAGACAACTATGATGTCTCATGTCTTAGGATGAGTTTACACCATTGCAACTTATGAGTTCTAGTTTGACATTTGACTAAAGACTTTCATTCTAGAACTCATATTTATGATCACATTTAATGTACTTGTTTGCCTCAAGCACCTACAAAAATATCTTGGTGTCACTATACTGAATGACTTGAGAACTTGTCATCCTCTAATTAGATAAGATATTGTCTGTACTGGTCTCTGTGGAAGATCAATTCCCCATTGATAATTCTACGACCAGGAGCAGTTTTAGGATATGACTAGGAAACATGAGAAGTCTCAATATATGCAATCTCATAACATAATTCTCATATCCTCTTTCAAATTCCTAGGACTAATGTTGTTTTACATTTATGGTTATTAGAATAGGAATCATGGAATGAAATTAACTGTTGTTCACCCGTTTTGATCTAAATCTTGTGATTGTAAGGTAAAGTTCCCCATTAACTTGAGAACCATTTGTGGTTAACAAATCAACTTTCTTTTGTGTATGAGCGTGCCTCTGCAAGCGGTTGAAACCCTAGCAGTCTTCTAAAAAATAGATAACTTGCGCCCCAAGTTATTGATTCTAAACAAGCAATTGTAAATTTGGATAAGGTAGGGTAAAGTTCCCCATTAACTTGAGAACCATTTGTGGTTAACAAATCAACTTTCTTTTGTGTATGAGCGTGCCACTACTAGCGGTTGAAACCCTAGCAGTCTTCTAAAAAATAGATAACGTGCGCCCCAAGTTATTGATTCTAAACAAGCAATTGTGAATTTGGATGAGGAATATCTCCCAAGTAAGTTCATTTTTTGCCTTAGACTGGTGAGGACTTCACAATTTTTCACAGTGCAAAACTGGTAGTTCTGGCCAGAATAAATAAAAAGAGAGCAAAAACTGTTTAAGCAGAACTGCCTATTACAAAACTTAATAGAGAAATGCCAAGTCCGAAAAGGACAACAAAACGTTGGACTTCGATCTCTGCCTAGGTAGCTGCCTCTGAACTGGGCTGGATTGGATGTGTTTATGCTAGATTGAACCGTCAGCACCTTTAACCGATAAGTTTCAATTGGAAATCGATACCAATGTTTGAATTTGGCAGAGCTTCAATCTGTTTCAAACGTTGGAAGGCTTGTTGGATTTGCGGAATTGAGGCCTCTTCAGTCTGGAGGGGGCAAAAGTGGATGGATTGACGATTGCTGAGCTGGAGCTGCACAATAGTACCTGTTCTGCTTGATCAGGACCTCTTCATAAATTTGTTGAGGTTTTCATATGATAAAAACCCGGATTCTGCTTGATCTGGCTTGTGCTGAACCAAATTTGTAACAAGAGAAATCTCGCTTTGTGAAACTGTTTCTCTGAATTAAACTGAAGTCAGAGACTTTGAGTTTTGGCTGACCTATCTCTTGTGGATCAAAGAGTTCTGGTTGCTTCAGAATCTGAAGACTTTTTGACATCGACTGATCAAGTTTTGAATTTGTCAATATGACTTGAGAGATTTTGTTTTGATTTATTTTTTACAGTCTTTTACCCTATTCCCCCCTTCTTATATTTATGGAGAATCTGAATGAGGTTTTTAATATCTAGGGGCATAAAAAGAGATTTTCTTTTTCTAGTGCAGAGAAGTTATTAATCTGGCAAACAAAGAACCATTAATAGTCAGTTCCTTTAATGGTCTTTTTGCTTTTTCTGAAAAAAGACAAACTCTCTTGTTCTCTGTTTGTTCTTCTACAAAAACACAACCTGCCACGATGGTCCATTTGTTTTTTCTGGTGAACAACTTTCATGCTTCCTTCTTATCTCTTGAAAATGTAACTGCTTATCTCTTGAAAATATAACTGCTTATCTCTTGAAAATATAACATGCTTTATTCAAGAGCTTCTCTACACATGGAGAGGGGTTTTGATCTTCTTTTTCCTGGTTTTTAAAATGGAGAAGGTTTTTCGAAAAACCTATCTTCATTAACTCCCTATCACTTCCTCTGTCTTAGTTGAGAAATTTGACTTTCCAAAGTCAGAAAGTCATGTGGGGCTACTTTTGAGAAAGAATCCTTCAAGCAAAAAAACGACTGATTTGCAATTTTAGGGTTGAGATCAGATGGTGAGAGTTTTTAGAAGCTGGGGTTTTTGATCCAAAGCTTGGTGTGTCAGATTTTATTGCCAATAATGGTAATTAATTTTTAGACCATGGCAATATTTGTAACCAGCCCAAAAAATGGTATGGGCCATTTCAGCATTTTGGGTTGATTTCCAATTCCAATAGATACAAAGCCCAATCGTTTTTTGTTGTTGATGGGCCTTTTAACAAAATAGGCTGGCGTGTAGAATTTTGGCCCAAAGCTTGGTGTGTCAGATTTTATTGCCAATAATGGTAATTAATTTTTAGACCATGGTAATATTTGTAACCTGCCCAAAAAATGGTATTGGCCATTTCAGCATTTTGGGTTGATTTCCAATTCCAATAGATACAAAGCCCAATCGTTTTTTGTTGTTTAAGGGCCTTTTAACAAAATGGGCTGGCGTGTAGAATTTTGGCCCAAACAACTATCTTGCCCATAAATAACTTAATAAGTCATTACAAAAGATGTCCTTAATATTAACTATTACATAATTAGTTGGCTTCAAGGGCATGCTACTAACAACATCCACACAAGCAGAGCAATTCTGGTCATACACTTGTTTGGATGCATCCACATAAGTAGAGCGATCTGTAGCCCCAGTCATAAAACATTTGCAAAATCAATGTGGGCGTTAAACCCATTTATAACACAAAGTGCACTCACCCATTACTAAAATGTGATCTCTCACCCATTATAACCATTTTCATAAGCTTTACAAACTTTCCCGTCTGTCAATGCATCAATATATAGAAAACCAAGTCCACATATAAAGCCCTTCTAAAGCTAGATAAACCCTTCCCACAAAACTCACTTAATGCTCAACTTATGTGCCTAGCCAAACCTGGGGCTAAGATCAGATTCCAATGAGGCCCAACACCTTGTAGCAGCTTTGGATTCAGCACCTATTCAACTCCCAAGATGGCGTCACACATATGAGCCAGTAGGGACACCTAGCACTCCTATTTTGCAGGTTGTTGGTGTGAAAAGGAAGCTACAACTTAATGAACTCGATGAGCTCAGACACGAGGCTTATGAGAATGCAAGGATATATAAAGAAAAGACCAAAAAGTTGCATGATCAAGCTATTTCTCATGATCAAGCTATTTCTAGGAAGACATTCATGACGGGAGAGAAAGTGTTGCTTTATAACTCCAAACTTCGACTCTTTTGGGCAAATTGCGTTCGAGATGGACCCTTCCTCTTCAGTCAAGTTTCTCCTCATGGTGTTGTAGAGATTCATAATACGTCAATTGGGACCCAATTTAAAGTGAATGGTCATCGCCTCAAGCATTATCTAGAATCTCACTTTGATCCTCAAGAGGTGGTGTCATTCTTTGACACCATTCCATCACCATGTTCATGAGCACCATTTTTAAGTCTAGCTAATGACTTAAAACAAGCGCTTCTTGGGAGGCAACCCAAGTTTTCTTACTTTTCCTTGTTAATTTCTAGTTTTTGCTTCTTTTGCTGTTTTTTTGGTTTCCTTAGTGATTTGATTATTTTTTGTGTGTAGAAACAAGTCGAAAACTTCCCAGCATGTTTAAGGAGTCTTTTTCAATGTGTTGGCACTCCTCATTTGGACCGCAAAGCAAGGGAAGGCAGCAAGTTATAGTTCGAGAATCAACAACCTGCATTTATAGGTATTTTCCAGGTTGCAATGCCTGGATTTTAATCCAATGCTCCCAAGGCTGCAAACTAGTTTTTGTGGGTGTCCATATACCTAGGCTAACTTCAGGGAATAGGATTTATGGCTTGAGAGCCAAGCCATAAGGCTTTTGTGCACAAGATTACCAAACAGCTCACATATGCCTTTTTGTTGGGTTTGCCACTGCCAAAAGTTGAAATAATGCAAGAGGAAAGGTTATTTTGGTTGATGTTTTTGCTGGACAATTTGAGAAGATTTCCTATGCACAATATCATTTTCTTCGTTCTTTCGCACCAAGGAGTGGCCCCACAAGTGATATACGGTCTCACAAAGATGTTCTAGGTGCTGGTTTAGTTTGGAGAACTTTATTCTTAAAATTTTCCTTTTGGCACAATTATGGTCATTTTTGGATTCTCCTCATAATTTTCACTATGGAGTGTTTCACGTGAATTCAAGGTTTCAGACATGTTGCAAATGGTTATGGTGATGATTTGGACTAAGTTTGGGGGTCCCATATGGCCTACATTGTGTTTTAGGTGGATTGGAAGTTCAAAAATGAGCCAAAATACAAAAATTGATACTGTTGCATTTTCTGGCTGTTCATCTGATTGTTCGTCGCTAAAACCCTTTTGCGAGGGGTGTTCATCGGATTTTTTGTCGAAAAAAGGTTCCTGACAACCTTTACTGACGGGTTTCTGCAGAAACACCGTCGCTAAAGGTCATTTTTCCAGATATTGCTGCTGTTGCTGTCCTCAAAAGCTGCTACTTCACACTAGTTTGCGGGTGGTTTGCCTCTCACACTAGAGCCTCATGCCTCACCATAAACCGGGGAAGTCCTCTTCTTTTCCTTGTTTCTCTTATTTATTTATTTATTTCGTTTCTTTTCTATATGCTTCCGTTCTTTTCTTAACATTGAGGACAATGTTTAATTCTAGTTTGGGGGTGGGGAACTTTGTTTAGGTTGTTTTCTTTTAGTAAAATTTTTATTATAAAAAATAAATATATAAATAAATAAATAAATAAATTGTTATTCTTAGTTCATTTGTTCTTCTTGTTAATTGTGGACAATTCAAAGTATAGTGAAATTTCAATTTTGAATTTGATATTCATAGGTGAGTTTAAAGGTTTGAACATGCTTCCATTATGAAATTTAGGATGAAATTTGCAATCACAGTTATTTACATTGGATTAGTGGATTAGTCATATGCTTCACCTTGAGACTTTCACATGCACACCAACATTCTTGCAGGGAGTTAAACGAGTCTTGAGTATGCTCATCCTTTTCTTTTATAAAATATAGGACTAGTTAGCATTTAACTAAAAGAAAAAGGTATAACATATTGAAAGTGACCAAAGGAGTCACTGACCTAAAGCTGTTACAAGGGTTGACAAGAAAGCTTGTTCCGAAAAAAAAAAAAAAAAAAAAAAGCTAGTTTGTTTGCTAGGTAGGTCCCGTATTTTATAACATAAGAGGTGCTGCATACTTGAGATTGGTTTAATTTTCTGTGTTTGTGTTGGCCTCACACTACACCAAGAAAAGCATGTGAGTTCTTTACTAATCTTTTGTAAATCTCTTTAATTGTTTGAATTGATTGTTTAAAATTTTGGAAGTTTGTTCTTTCTTTTAAACCTTTCTATGAGTTGAGAATTCTGATTTGTGTTCCAATGTACTTTCGATTGATTGCAATTGGTGAGGAGAAAACTTGAACTAAGACTAACATCTTTGGTTTGTACAAAGAAGAGTCTTGTGTGTCGTGTGTTTCTATTTCTTTTTGTGTGTTTTCTTTTTTTTTCTTTCTTCGTTCTTTATTTTTTGCTCGAGAACTAGCAAAATCCAAGTTTGGGGGTATTTGATATGTTCATAATTTCACATGATTTTATATCCTTTTTACTTAGTTTTATGAATTAATTTGGACTAAAGATGCTGAGTTTAGTTATTTCCTGGTTTTTCAGCTTATGAGCCAAGAAATGTATAAATTCGCCAAATATTCATCGTAATAGAGTTTGACATGATTCCAATTGGAGATGGAAGACATCATCTTGAAGTTTATCCATGAATATTTTCATAAGTTTTGAAGACTGCTAAGGTGCCCATTTTTAATTAGACAACTCAGCATAAACCAATTCCCGGAGAATACTTAGTCAGCAGGGGTATTTTGGCCATAAAGCACTCATATGACATCGGATTGAGGCACACGATATATGGCTGAAAAGAAGACATCCAGAGATTTCCAAAGAGTGGTTGTACGCAATTTTTGGAGGTAAACAATGTGTCCAAATAGCATTCACAATGAGGATGTTGTGGGGGCTCAAGAGATACACCAGAAATTTCAGACTTCAACTGTGCAGCAAGGAAGAGCGACCGTACATCTAAACTCTAAGGGTTTTTCTTATCTCTTTCTCCACATTTTATTTTTACTTTGTTACCATAATTATGAGTAACTAATTTTCTTTTACTAAGACACAATGTAACCCTTTTCTAATTATTCAAAGCTTAGTTATGTCATGCTATTAGAATTTCCATGTTGTTGAAATTTAATCACTGTGCTTATTTTCTTAACTAATGATCTTGATGCTTAGCTACCATCTAGGTTTTTGGTTAAGTAATTTGATGCATGTTAGGGTATACGCCATGCCTAATATGAGTTTTGCTTCTTGTGATTAAATTCATGAATGCGCCTAAGGTAAACACCATACTCTTAGGGGTTTGTGTGATTGCATTGAACCTAAGGTCTTTTTATATGTTTATATTTATGCCTCACGCCAAGGATAAATTGCATGTAAGAAGAAGTGGTTAATTTCTGTGAAAAGAGTTAATCATAATTTTGGAGAACTAATCATCAACATAACTTGGGAATTTTGATAGTATGCATGCTAAGGTTTGGATAAGAGGAATTGTGGTGAAGTTGTTGTCTTTGTAAGCTTCTTTAAAATCTTTCACAAACTTAGTTCATGTTTTTCTTTGTTATCTTGTCTTTTAATTTTCTTGTTTTCAACGTTCTTTCAGAGAAAATCTTTCAAAACCAACTTTCCAAACTCCTCTATTAAGTTTTAGTTGAGTCATTAGTTTTAAGTTTATTAATTAGGGTGTCTAGAGTAATTTAGGATTTAAATTAGTTTATAATTCACAAGAACTTGAGAATTTATTCAGTCTCTGTGGGAACGACCTTGTACTTGCCTTGGCTATATTGCATTAACCTTGTGCTCTTGCAAGTTTATTTCTTGAATTTAACTATCTAATTTTCAAGTAGTAAAATTGTACATCAATCACCTTATTACTAATACTAGCCTCTGCTTGGCCATTTGATTGGGATTGTACGGGTTGGATTGAACCATCCTAATTCCCCAATTCCTCGCGGTGGCTTAAACAGCCTCGCCCATAAAAGCCGTTCCTCGGTCAGTCATGATGGACTCAGGCAAGCCGAATCGGTGGGCGATATTCTTCACAATAAATTCTATCACCTCGACCTAGGTAACCTTATTGAGTGGGATGGCCTCCACTTCCCAACCTTTGAAAGGCCAAGCCTTGACAATGGGGTTCTTTGGTCCAGTCGGAACATGTTGAATCAGCCCATGCTTTTGACAATCTTTGAGGATGGTCAGCCAATAATAAGCATGCCTTCTTAAAAGCCACCTCATTATGATGCCGGCTTGATGCGCACTGCATATTCCTTTGTGGACCTCAATCATTGCTACGAATTGTTCCTTTTTGCCCAAAAATTTCATAATCAAATCTTCAGAACATCCCTTATCACATAATATTGGGCCCTCCACCGAACTTGTTGGCTATGTGACCCATTTGGAGTTTTCAAATATTGCATGATGTTGTGCCTCCAATCCTCCGGTGCTATGGTTAGAACCATAACTTCAGCTGAAGTTTGAAAGAGGGAAGGGATTGTTTCTCTACTTTAAAAAGCTCCTCATAGAGCCCCTCAGAGATTTGCACTACAGATGTTAATTAGGCCATGACGTTGGCCTGAGAGTTATGCATGCTCCCTAGGTAGGTGGGTGAGTCTCACCTCATCAAAATCTTCCATCAACCAGCTAGCCAAGGCATGATATCCAAGCAAAGCTTGGCTAGTCACCTTGTAGTCACCTCGTATTTGGCCTGATTGTTGGTACAATCAAAGTCTAATGGAAACGAATAACGAGTTCAGAATCCTTGGGGTGATTCAATGATGATATCTGCCCTGCCCATGTTAGATGTTCGAGACGTGGAAAAATAGAGGCGCTGTGGCAATAAACTCAACGTTCCGACCTCAAGGAATCCATCTGCTCTATTTCAACACAAGGGTGAACGGCCAAGAAATCAACCAAAGCTTGCCCCTTGATGGCTTGCTGGGGCACGTATCAGAAAGTGAACTCCGCAATGCCATCATCCATTTTCCTATCCGCTCTCTAATGAATGGCCGAGTAAGCATGTATTTTATCAAATCAATCTTGGCGATTATATGCACCACAAAGGGCAACAAGTAATGCCTTAACTTGGTTGTGGTGAAGTATAAGGCCAAGCAAAGTTTCTCCACCGGTGAGTACTTCTCTTGGTGGCTGTTAGAATTCGACTGAGGTAATACACTGCTTGCTCTTTCTTCTCATCGTTGTCTTGGGTAACGGACTTCTGATGGAGTTCTCCACACCCGAAATATACAATTTTAATGGTCGGCCCGGCCTTGGCTGAATGAGCACCGGAGGCTTGGCCAAATACTCTTTAATAGCATCGAATGCCCTTTGGTGAGTCTCCTCCCACTGAAATTCCTCTTCATCCTTGAGTTTTAGCAAAGATGAGAAAGTTTCAACTTTTCCCACGGAGTTTGCTATAAACCTTTGGAGAAAGTTAATTTGGCCCAACAAACTTTGCACACCTTTCTTGTTTTTTGGAGGAGGCGCATCAATAATAACCTTAGCCTTATTTTTATCAATTTCGATCCCCCTTGGGTGCACCAAAAATCCTATGAAATTTCTCATGCACACCCCAAAATCACACTTTTTCGAGTTCATCTTCAATTGATGCCTCCGCATTCTCTCGAAGGCCGACTGAAGGTCATCCAAGTGACCTAATTTGGACTTCAACTTTATAACCACATCATCTTTTTGAAAGCCATTCTACATATCTAGCTGGCCTAATAAATTTGGCTTTCATAGGCCTTACACTTTCTTCCTTAACTAGTAACTCTACTTCCGCTGAAATTTGACACGGCGGCTGCTTAAAGGACTTAAAATCTTCCACCGTTGGTAGACAATGCTCAACCAAGTAACGACTCAATCTGGGCATCTTGGTGTAATCTCAAGTGAAGCAATCCTTGAACTCTCTTAAAAGCTCTTCATCTTGGCCCGAAGTTCTAGCTCCATTATACCACTGATGTAGATTGGATGATGGCTGTCTTATGTCCCTAAGTTGATCTCCAACAGAGGGTCTTGGACTTCCGCCTTCAAATCATCCATCTCGCTTGGTGCCAACTCTATTTCCTCGATTTGAGTACATCATCTTTCGGACCTTCATGAAGAAATTCCACCAAGTTAGTGGTGGACCTATGCTCGGCTGCTCTATCGACCCAAAAACCGTATAGCTATCTCAAAGTGAGGCCATTGCCACGCGCATACACTTTTCCAGAAACCTTGGACACGAATCCATGGCTTAGACTTGGACCTCCGAGCTCCCTGGAATAATATGGGTTGACTTTCTCTTGCCTGACCCTGATACTTCTCTAGTACGGCCGTCAAACTTCTCCAGCCCGGCTGAAGTTAAGCCTGGCAGCAACTCAAGTTTAGCCACAACTCCTTAAGCCTGGCCGCTACTCAAGTTGGACCGCTACTCATCAAGCCCGGCCGCTACTCAAGCTCGGCCGCCATTTCTCCAAAACTCGAAGCCCGGATAGCTCCAAACTCCTCTAAGATTTCTCCTGGGCCAAGACCTTCAATCTGACCGCTTTTTACAAAAGGAGATCCAGGCACTTTTACATTTTTGTGGGCATATCTGTTTTGCCCAATTTTTGCTAGAGATGCACTTGGTTTTTGAAGAAGGAAGGAAGCCCGTCTCCTTGTGTTTTCGAATGGTGCTCGAGTTGGGTGAATTTTCATCACCCCTAAACAAATTCATTTAGCCATTTGTTCTACATTATTCATTTGTGTATTCAACATAACATGTGTCTGTTCGGATCTATGGTTGCTGATGTATATTTTTTGGGATCAATGTTTGTAGTGTTTTATGAGTTTTTTTATATTTTTTATGCTTTATTTGTGATTGATATGATAAAATTCATAGATGCACCACTCAAATGGAGTCTGAAAATGCACAACAAGTAAATGGAAAAGGGAAGAGCAAACAAGATTATAACACTTGGAGTGTGGAAGGGAGTATAATTTTGTTGCAACTCATGGTTGATGCTACATCCCATGGATGGCATGATGCTAATGGAATGCTAAGCAAGGCAACTATAGAAACCAAAATTAGGGATGGCAAAACTCCCTGCTGGGGCAGGTCCCCATCGGGTCCCTGACCTTAATGGGAGGAGATTTGGGAGTCAAATGGGTATCAGGTACAGAGATCCCAAAACTTGAAAAATCCCTAACCGGTATGGGAAGGGGATGGTATTGGCTTCCCCATCCCCGAACCCTACCCGAAAATATATATGTTTATATTTAAATAAATAAATGAATAAATTTATAATTACAATATTTACGTTTAACCCTAAGTTAACTTCCTTCTCCTAATTCTTCCTAATCTTCTTTGGAATTTCATATTGATGTGATTTTGAATAGTTGAGTTGAACTTTATAGTTAATTTGGATATGTTGAATGATAATTTAATATGAAATTTAATGTTAAAATGTATGATAAATATTTTTTATGCAAAAAAAAATCAGAGATTTGGGACGGGTATGAGGGATAGTCCCCCGACGCGGGAACGGGGATGGGGATTTCCCGAAACCTATTAAATGGGGATGGGTTGGGGGATTGGGGCGGGGATGGAGAGCGGGGACGGGGATGATATTGTCATACCCGGCCCCTACTTGACTCGTTGCCATCCCTAACCAAAATACTCCCCAGGATTAATGAAAAACTTAGGTGTCATAAAACATATTCTCAATACCAGAGTCGATTGAAATACTTGGTTTTTCTTACTTCTTTCTCCTTGTTTTATTTTTGCTTTGTTACCATGATTATGAGTAAATAATTTTCTTTTACTAAGACACAATGTAACCCTTTCTAATTATTCAAAGCCTAGTTATGTCATGCTATTAGAATTTCCTATTGTTGAAATTATATCACTGTGCTTATTTTCTTAACTAATGATCTTGATGCTTAGCTACCATCTAGATTTTTGGTTAAGTAATTTGGTTCATGTTAGGGTATACGCCATGCCTAATATGAGTTTTGCTTCTTGTGATTAAATTCATGAATGCGCCTAAGGTAAACATCATACTCTTAGGGGTTTGTGTGACTGTGTGAAGTACTCATTGAACCTAAGGTCTTTTTATATGTTTATATTTATGCATCACGCCAAGGATAAATTGTGTGTAAGAATAAGTGGTTAATTGCTGTGAAAAGAGTTAATCATAATTTTGGAGAACTAATCATCAACATAACTTGGGAATTTTGATAGTATGCATGCTAAGGTTTGGATAAGAAGAATTGTGGTGAAATTGTTGTCTTGGTAAGCTTCTTTAAAATCTTTCACAAACTTATTTAGTTCACGTTTTTCTTTGTTTTCTTGTCTTTTAATTTTCTTGTTTTCAACGTTCTTTTAAAGAAAATCTTTCAAAACTCCTCTATTAAGTTTTAGTTGAGTCGTTAGTTTTAAGTTTATTAATTAGGGTGTCTAGAGTAATTTAGGATTTAAATTAGTTTATAATTCACAACAACTTGAGAATTTATTCAGTCTCTATGGGAACGACCTTGTACTTGCATTGGCTATATTGCATTAACCTTGTGCGCTTGCAAGTTTATTTCTTTAATTTAACTATCTAATTTTCAGGTAGTAAAAATACATCAAAAAGAAAAGAAATTTCAGAGAAACTGTTGCAAAGGCCTTGGTGGCTTTGGAGGTTTTGTTGCAGAAGGAGCAAGCTTAGGGTTTTGATGGGTTTGATCTGAAAGAGCTGGAGATCGATGAGAGAGTATAAGTAAAAGGATACTAGGGATTTGAAATAGCAAAAGCCCCAAATCCCTTACTGAAACTCTCACTGACCACGACGGCGCAACGATATGGCAAGCTCAGAAACCTTGAGTAAAGTCGCAGTGGAGCAGACAACGTTATCGATCACGACCTGCAAAGCAAAAGAAGCGAATGGTCAAGAGAGAAACGCATAGCAGAAAGAGAAAGACATATGAAGAGAGAGATCTGTGACGATGAGGGAGGAAGAGAGATGAGGAAAATTCAGAGGGACTGTTTAAGAGAGTTGAGAGCGCTGCAAAAATTTGGGGAGGGAATGTTTTTGAGTTGGGAGGAAATCTGAAAATTTGCAAACTCACTTAAGGAGCCTAGCATGTTTTAAAAGACGACCTTTGTAATTTATAAATGTCGTCTTTTAAAACACAACTCTATTTTAGTGGTGTATAAAATGGTATATCAATTTTATAATTAAGAGGGCCTCCAAACCAAATCAATTCAACCCACGGGCAGAAGAGGAACAAATGCTCAATAGATTCCTCATGAGCTTGGCATATAGGACATAATGAGGTTCGAGCAATTTTGCGTTTGTGGAGAGCCATTGCCGTAGGCAACCTACCATGGGTCGCACGCCACAGAAAATATTTTATCTTTAGCGGGACCTTAGCTTTCCAAATATTTTTCCATACCAAGGGGTCAATCCATGATGAGGTGGAGGCTTTCCTGGCGGTGGTCTCAACCTATAGGGCATGGATGCAATGATACCGGGACCGCACTGAAAATTTGCCGTTCTTTTCCCCAGGCCACACTAACCTGTCGTCCTCCCTTCCATTCCCTATAGGGATAAGCTGGATAGCAAGCTTCTCCTCATCAGTAATTGAAGCTTGAATTGGGGTTAAATTCCAAGTTTTGGAATCCCAATCAATTAAAGTTACCACCCTAGTGTTAGGATCAATTGAGGCTTGTAAGTGGGGGTGGAGTTTACCATCGTGAAGGGAGGGAATCCAATAGTCTGTCCAAAGCTTTGCCTGTCTGCCATTTAGAATTTGCCACTGAGCTCCCTGGAGAATGATCTTTCTTCCCTCAGGCAAGCTTGCCCAAAGCCAGGAAGCACGGCCGCCTTTCTTTGCCTCCAAAAAACTACATTTCAGGAAATAACGAGCCTTCAAGAGTTGAGCACATTGGGAATTTGGCTCCATGATTAATCTCCAAAAAACTACATTCCGGGAAATTACCACCTTTGACCAATGGTTGCTGAAATGTACCATGGATGGGATCCAAACTAAGGAGGAAAAAACACGTATATCATGCATTATTGCTGTTACTTGCTGGATTATTTGGAAAACAAGGAATCGTTTTGTTTTTATCAATGCAAACCACAACCTCTCTTGGCCATCAAAACCATTCTTTCTCAAGTGGAGGAGCTAGCTGCATTGAATAACATAAGGACTGTGAGGAGGTTTTGCGAAGGACCCTCTACAAATCCTACCTCTTGGACCGCACCAAATGCCCATGTTATTAAAGTTAACTTTGATGCTGCTTGGTTGGCATCCTCTGGCAAAGCTGGAGCTGGTCTTATTACACGAAATGCCAATGGTGAGTTCGTGGGAGCAAAATGCCTCTCTTTTCACCCGGAATCTGCAATCATGGCTGAGGCAACTGCTGGTTTGGAAGGTTGCAAATGGGCAGCTGAGTTGGGCTTATCTGAGGTTTGCTTTGAATCTGACTCCAAAGAACTGATTGAGAGTGTGAGAGGAAACATAAAGCGTGGAAGATGGAGTCTATACTCACTTCTATCAAGGATTCGTGAATGCAACTCCAACTTCTCAAACTGTAACTGGGCATGGACCAATAGGAAAAACAATGAAGCGGCAGATCACCTTGCGTCGCTAGCACTATCGAGGTCGAGTTAGGAAGTCTGGGTATCCAGGCCCCCCACCTCTCTTGTGCTTATCTTAAGTCGAGACGGCCTTCCCTGCCCTTCTCCAGCCTCCACAGAGCTTGTGCTGTTCAAGATGGCCATGACACTCTGATTCTGGATTGTCGTACCACTCCCATACCATAGGGCTCTTTCTTGTAGCAGCTTGTATGAGTTTATTTGAGTTTATTGCTTTGCATGCACTTCTATTCTGTCGCATGGCTCTGTTTCTCCAGTTTCTTTGAGTTGTAATCTATTTTGGATTTGCTCTCCTGTTAATGAAAGTTCTTATTAAAAACAAAAAAAAAAAAAAAAAAAAAAAGAATATGCTATGCTATATCACGCTTTTGTAAACCCATCATCTTTTAAAACACGACAGTTTTAAACTACACCGTTGTCTATTTTGTGTTGTGGTTTTACAATTTTGTAGTAGTTTAAATTCAGTACAAGGTTTAGTTCTAGAAATTAAAATGTGATGTGAATTTCCTATAAAAGGTGGTAATAAATAGGATAATCTGGTTACACCAGTTACTCTGATACAAAAATCAACAATACACATGCTAAAGTTTATATGAAACGAAGTACTCAAATGACTACAATATACATATGGCACACACAATTCAGATCATAATGAGTTGTTCAAGGGTAATATCATTTGATCTTTTATTGGAAGAAGCAGTTGGGAACGATAAAGCCTGAGAAACCATGTGCATTGTTGGCCTTGATTGTGGATGGGAATGTCTGCATGCAATTGATAGCCTTGCAATGGTTATGAGTTCATCTTGAAGTTGAGGTGTAGGAGGGGGAAGGCTTTGGTCCAACACATCCTTGAGAAATATGTTTGCATAGGTGGTGGATGGAAACGAAAAGGAGGAGACGAAATCGCCTAGCTGCTTTCCCATAATCACTTCCAGTGCCAGCACTCCAAAGCTATAAACATCACATTTTTCTGTTACCTTCATTGTATAAGCCAGCTCTGCGTGCAAATTAAGGAAGAGCAAACCATTAATATAGATATATCCAGAATTAAATTTTTTTTATAGAAAAACTTCTATATTTTTATATTTTACCTGGTGCTACATATCCATATGTGCCTGCAAGAGCAGTCCAATTTGACGAGTCTGGATTCAAAAGCTTAGCAGTGCCAAAGTCCGAAACGCAAGGCTCATAGTCACAATGCAGCAAAATGTTGCTGCTTGTTATGTCTCGATGCACGATAGGTGGCGCGCAATCATGATGCATATAACACAAAGCATGAGCTACACCCTTTACGATTCTCACCCTTGTACTCCAGTCCAACTTTTTAGCTTCATGCTCGTTGCTCAAGATTGTAGCCAAGTTACCTTTTTCCAGATACTCATAGACCAAAAATGAGTGATGGGAACTTGAACAAAAGCCAAGAAACTTTACAATGTTTCGGTGTCGTATCTGAGTTAAGGCCCTTATTTCATTAAAGAACTCCTTCCGAGATGCCTCCTCACCATCAGGTGTTCTATGGAATTTCTTCACTGCAACAATGCTGCTTGATGGCAGCTTTGCCTTGTAGACACTTCCCTGTCCTCCCTTCCCGATGCAATGGATGACATCAAAACCATTGGTTGCTTCCATGATTTCTCCATACATTTTTCTTCCGTCAAAATTAGATATTGAGAAAAAGCTTTTGTGCATATTGCTCTGTTCGATTTCCTGTTCTTTCTTTCTTCTACTTCTTCTTCTTCCAATCAAAACAAAAGACAGGAAAGCAAGTAATAGTGTTCCCAAGATAGGGAAAATGATTAAGAAAGCCTTCCTTGAGGTATGCTTATGCTCCACAGAATGATTGCAGGGTTTTAGTCCTCCAACGTTGCCACACAATCCGTTATTCCCTTCCATTAGAGCATTTTGAAATGCTTTGTTGTTGGGGATTGGACCCTGCAGTTGATTGTAGGATATGTCGATGTCATACAGGCCATGCATTTCATCAAAAGTTGTTGGAATGAGACCTGTAAGATTATTGTAGGAAAGATTCAACTTCTCCAAGCTTTGCATACTGCTCATTTCTGATGGTATCTTACCCCCAAGTGAGTTATGACTTAGATCAAGTTGGGACAGATGAACTAACTTCCCCAACTGAAATGGAATTTCTTGATTGAACTTGTTGTTTCTCAAATTCAAGTAGTTTAATTTGAGCAAGTTGCCTAAAATGCCTGGAATTGACTCATTGAATTTGTTGGTGGACAAGTCAAGATATTCAATATCAGTCAGTGATCCAAATTCTGAGGGTATAGGACCCCAAAGTTGATTTCCATTCAACATCAAATTCACCAAAGAAGTCAATCTCCCAAAGTCCTTGGGAATCACCCCTACTAAACTATTGGAAGAAAGATCCAATACATGAATTTGGGTTGCATTGCTAATCTCAGGTGGTATACTACCAGTAAGCTTGTTCCCCGCAATTCGTAGTGTTGCTAATTGTGGGCACTGTCCCCAGAGCTGTGAGATTTCACCGTGCAAGTTATTGTGGCTCAGGTCAATAAAATGAAGATTTGGATAGGCACCAAAGTCTTCAGATATATTGCCCGTTAGTTGGTTCCCTTCAAGACGAACTCTCACTAAGCTCTTGCAATTTTGCAAACCTTTGGGGATTGTACCTATGAAATGGTTGTTGTTTACCGTAAAATTTTGTAGTGATCCGCCTTGGCAAATATTTTGTGGCAAATAACCAGAAAAATTGTTAGTGTCGAGTTCCAGCACAGTCAACTTTGCGAGATTCTCAATCTCTTGGGGGATGGAGCCAGAAAGTTGGTTATCGCGTAGGAATAAGATTTCTAGGTTGCTCAAGTCACCAAGTGAAGTGGGGATGGAACCATTGAATTGATTCTGGCTCAACTCTAGCTCCACAATAGATTTCAAGTTCCCTATCTCTTTTGGAATTGTGCCAGAAAGATTATTTTCAAAGAGATAGAGAAGGGTAAGGTTTGTTAGATCACCTAATGATGACGGGATTGGACCAGATAGATGGTTATCATCAATGCATAATTCCACTAGAGACTTCAAATTTCCTATTTCTTGAGGAATTGAGCCATTTAATTGGTTCGTATTTAGGTGCAGGGCTTGAAGATTATTTAGAAGACCAATTTCTGGTGGGATTCTCCCAGACAACTGATTATAAGAAAGGTCAAAATAGATGAGTTTGGAGAGGGAACTTATCTGAGATGGGATGGCACCAAAGAGTTGGTTCAAGCTGAGGTCAATGAATTCGAGATTAGGGAGGGACAGGAATGGAAATTCGTATAGCGTTCCTTGTATCCCAGAATTGGTGAGGTTGATCCTGTTGACACTAGCAGCAGTGTTGCATGAAATACCAGTCCAAACGTTGCATGGGATTGTATTTACTTTTGGATAGGAAGCCCATGAGGTCAGATTATTCTTGGTTTGATTTTGAAAGCTAGCTTTCCATTTGAGAAGAGCCTCTGCTTCAAGAGAAGAAGCAAAAGCAATGTTTGGTGATGAGAACAGCTGGACATACGAGATAAGGCAAGCTAGAGAGCATAATAAATATGTCATTGTATTTTTGTTTCTGTATACAATCGTGTATTTGATGGCTTTATTTATAGCTATTATTCTACATGCACTGATTCCGTTTTCCACAATATATCCAGCGCTCGACAAGCTTTTGTGGTTGAGATGGCTTGAGACATCTCTTTCACTTTTCTTTCTAAGAGGTAAGGTGGTATGTTAATTAGTCATCGTCTTATAATGCAATGTTTGAATTTTGTGGTTGAATTTAGAGTTAGCAATAACTTGGATGCTTGACAATGTTCATTCTTTGAATTTTGGCTGTTGAATAATGTTAAATACGATCGAAAACTTAACGAAATAAAATACAATATTGTATAAGTGCATGGTTCCACAACTAATAGTATATAGAAGGTTTTCTTACTCATATTATAGATTAGGCATAATTCATGTTGCAAAGGAGGAGAGAAACTTATACCTGGCTAACGTTGTTTACATGATGATTCTCAGCATGTAAGGGATTGTGAGGGATTTACAACTACGGGGTTAAAATTAATAAAATTGAAACTATGGGGACTAAAGTGGTAAAATCAGTAAACTACGCGGACAAAAAATAACTTTCTCCTTTATTTATTGTATGTGATTGTATTTGATTTTTATATGAGATTGTAAGGATATGTTTTGTAAGATGAACAACGGGCTGCAATATTTTATGCAAAAAATTACGGACTCACGGCACACCACGATATGCTGAAGACGGTCAATGCAAGCATATGTTACAAA